TTCCCACCCCTTCTTCCCACCCCTTCTTCCCACCCCTTCCTTCTTCCCACCCCTTCTTCCCACCCTTCCTTCTTCCCACCCCTTCTTCCCACCCCTTCTTCCCACCCCTTCTTCCCACCCCTTCTTCCCACCCCTTCTTCCCACCCCTTCTTCCCACCCCTTCTTCCCACCCCTTCTTCCCACCCTTCTTCCCACCCCTTCTTCCCACCCCTTCCTTCTTCCCACCCCTTCTTCCCACCCCTTCCTTCTTCCCACCCCTTCTTCCCACCCCTTCTTCCCACCCCTTCTTCCCACCCCTTCCTTCTTCCCACCCCTTCTTTCCCACCCTTCCTTCTTCCCACCCCTTCTTCCCAACCCCTTCTTCCCACCCCTTCTTCCCACCCCTTCTTCCCACCCCCTTCTTCCCACCCCTTCTTCCCACCCCTTCTTCCCACCCCTTCTTCCCACCCCTTCTTCCCACCCCTTCTTCCCACCCCTTCTTCTCCCACCCCTTCTTCCCACCACCCCTTCTTCCCACCCCTTCTTTCCCACCCCTTCCTTCTTCCCACCCCTTCTTCCCACCCCTTTCCTTCTCCCACCCCTTCTTCCCACCCCTTCTTCCCACCCCTTCTTCCCACCCCTTCTTCCCACCCCTTCTTCCCACCCCTTCTTCCCACCCCTTCTTCCCACCCCTTCTTCCCACCCCTTCTTCCCACCCCTTCTTCCCACCCCTTCTTCCCACCCTTCTTCCCACCCCTTCTTCCCACCCCTTCTTCCCACCCCTTCTTCCCACCCCTTCTTCCCACCCCTTCTTCCCACCCCTTCTTCCCACCCCTTCTTCCCACCCCTTCTTCCCACCCCTTCTTCCCACCCCTTCTTCCCACCCCTTCTTCCCACCCCTTCTTCCCACCCCTTCTTCCCACCCCTTCTTCCCACCCCTTCTTCCCACCCCTTCTTCCCACCCCTTCTTCCCACCCCTTCTTCCCACCCCTTCTTCCCACCCCTTCTTCCCACCCCTTCTTCCCACCCCTTCTTCCCACCCCTTTTCCCACCCCTTCTTCCCACCCTTCTTCCCACCCCTTCTTCCCACCCCCTTCTTCCCACCCCTTCTTCCCACCCCCTTCTTTCCCACCCCTTCTTCCCACCCCTTCTTCCCACCCCTTCTTCCCACCCCTTCTTCCCACCCCTTCTTCCCACCCCTTCTTCCCACCCCTTCTTCCCACCCCTTCTTCCCACCCCTTCTTCCCACCCCTTCTTCCCCCCCCTTCTTCCCACCCCTTCTTCCCACCCCTTCTTCCCACCCATTCTTCCCACCCCTTCTTCCCACCCCTTTCTTCCCACCCCTTCTTCCCACCCCTTCTTCCCACCCCCTTTCTTCCCACCCCTTCTTCCCACCCCTTCTTCCACCCCTTTCTTTCCCACCCCCTTCTTCCCACCCACTTCTTCCCACCCCCTTCTTCCCACCCCTTCTTCCCACCCCTTCTTCCCACCCCTTCTTCCCACCCCTTCTTCCCACCCCTTCTTCCCATCTCCTCTCTCACAGTTTGACGTGCAACCGTTCCTCCTCTCGCCATCTCACGACAGTAGCAGCAACACTGCTGGGACCAACATTACCAGCTCAGGCAACGGCTCGAGCCCTGGATCTCTCTCGTTGAGCGAACGAGCAGCGTGGGCAGCAGAAGTCGACACGGTCTGGTCTCTCCCGTAAGCTTTTATTGAAGCAAGCATTGACACTCCACACACAAACTGACTATCAAGTCGACCCGCCTCGCTGAATTTGACACGGTCTGGTCCCTCCGGTAAGCATCGTCTCGTTGCCACTGCACGGTAGCACTGCAATGAAAGGCAGCTCAGGCAACGGCTCGAGCCCTGGGTCTCTCTCGTTGAGCGAACGAGCAGCGTGGGCCGCTGAAGTCGACACGGTCTGGTCTCTCCCGTAAGCATCCACTGTAGCACTGCACAGTAATGTAAGCTTCGACTTGTTGGCACTGCTACAGAAAGCAGCTCAGGCAACGGCTCGAGCCCCGGGTCTCTGTCGTTGAGCGAACGAGCGGCGTGGGTCGCTGAAGTGGACACTGTCTGGTCCCTCCCGTAAGCATTGCTTGAAGCAAGCAATGACGCTCCACACACGAACTGACTTCTAAGTCGACTCAAAAGTCACCTCGCTGAAGTGGACACTGTCTGGTCCCTCCCGTAAGCATTGTCTCGTTGCTGTGGCACCGCACTGTAAGCATCTGCTGTGGCACCGCACTCTAAGCATCTGCTGTGGCACCGCACTCTAAGCATCTGCTGTGGCACCGCACTCTAAGCATCTGCTGTGGCACCGCACTGTAAGCTTCATCTCGTTGGCATTGCTACAGAAAGCAGCTCAGGCAATGGCTCGAGCCCTGAGTCTCTCTCGTTGAGCGAATGAGCGGCGTGGGCGGCTGAAGTGGACACTGTCTGGTCCCTCCGTAAGCATTGTCCTTTATCGTAACAATCAACCAGCCCACATTTGAGTTGACTAAGAAGACTAGATGACGTGAGAGCACATGCCCTTTCTTGTGATTTGAGTTGAGGAAGTTGGGAAGACATCAGCCCCCATTATATTTAATTGGCTTCTTCTTTTCCCCCTTTTATGTTGTGGTGTTTAAACAGGTACCCCGCCATACTGCGACACACTGTAGAGGAAGTCGAGGCTGCTTGTATTGAAGCATCAAGAGAAGCAGCTAGGCTAAAAGAAGCCGAAACAGAAGCAGCAGCAGCAGCAGCAGCAGCAGCGGCTGCAGCAGCGGAAGGCAGCAGCAGCGGCACTTCCGCGTCCTCCTCCTCTACCCCACACTCACTCCTGTCCCCTCTCCAGCAATCCATTCAACGAGAACTTGTGAGGAGAGATACTCCCTCTTCATCCGGTGGTGCTGATGGTGCTGCTGATGGTGCTGCTGATGGTGGTGCTGTTGATAATGGTGCTGCTAGTGGTGGTCGCTTTGGGGATGTGGATGTGCGCGTGCCACCGAGACAGATGTCGCTCCGTGATTGGGTGGCTGCTGCGAAAGCACAAGGCGCAGTTGTGTTCATAGCAGGTACCATATGCTCCGCCCTCGAGTCGGTTTTTTTAATTGTAGTCCACACACATACAAGGTGGAGTTGTGCTCATTGCAATTTTTAAAATTCTAAAAAGCGTCTTTTCCACAAGTGGAGCTGTCTGCTTTGAGACACCATATGCTATCTTCTCTCCCACACGCCTGGTCTGGTCCTATCCCTTGGTCCACCCTCTGCCTCTTCACTCGGCATTCTTTACCCACATCCCTGGTCCCCGCCTGTGAGGAGGATGGCACGCTACAGCACTTGTTGGAGCACCAAGGAAGGCATTCACCACTCTCTCTTCCTCTCCTCTCATCCCCAATACCCCCCCCCTCTTCCCCTTTCTCCTAAACCCGAACCCTCCCCCAGTGCATGGAGGTATAGGGGAGGACGGCACGCTGCAGCACCTGTTGGAGCACCAAGGAAGGCATTCACCACTCTCTCTTCCTCTCCTCTCATTCCCAACAACCCCCCCCTTCCCTTTTCTCCCAAACCCGAACCCGAACCCTCCCCTCCCCTGCACGGAGGCATATTGGAGGATGGCACGCTGCAACACTTGTTGGAGCATGAGGGAGTGCCCTTCATCCCCCCACTCTCCCTTTCCTTCTCCCTCTTCTCCCTTTCCCCAGTGCACGGAGGTATAGGCGAGGAAGGCACGCTGCAACACTTGTTGGAGCATGAGGGAGTGCCTTTCACTCCCCTTCCACCCCCCCCCCCCCCCCCCCCCCCCCCCCCCCCGCTCTTTCCCTCTATCCTCTTCATCCCCTTTCTCCAGTGCATGGAGGTATAGGCGAGGACGGCACGCTACAGCACTTGTTGGAGCATGAGGGAGTGCCGTTCACTGGTGAGAGGCCAGTGATTCCTCTTGTACAGGATAAGCTTTGAGTCGACTGGAAAGTCTTGGGTCAACTCAGAGGACAGTGATTCCTCTTGTACAGGATAAGCCCTTAGTCTCTTGAAGTGAGTCAATAATAAGGAGGAGGTATAGGCGAGGACGGTACGCTGCAGCACCTGCTGGAGCATGAGGGAGTGCCCTTCACTGGTGAGAGGCTTGTGAATCTGCTTTCACGTAGTACAGGATAATAAGGAGGAGGCATAGGCGAGGACGGTACACTGCAGCACTTGTTGGAGCATGAGGGAGTGCCTTTCACTGGTGGGGCGCTTGCTTCTCCTCTCACATAGGAGCTGACTTTTGAGTCGACTCAAAAGCCTAGTTGACTTTTGAGTCGACTCAAAATTAAACTCTCACGTAGGAGCTGACTTTTGAGTCGACTCAAAAGCCTTTCACTGGTGGGGCGCTTGCTTGCTTCTCCTCTCACATAGGAAAAATCTTCTATACTACTCAATAGCTGAAGTTCTTGCACAAGGCTTAATAGCCTGTGGTTGTTTCTGGTGGACAAATAGCTGAACCCCTTCCATGCGTTGGACAGAAAGACTCCTCCTGAATTCGCCTTTGTGAGATGTATTCTCTGTAAACAATATAGTGAGAGGAGCTTGCACTCTATATATGTGATTTATGCTCTAAACGAAGCTTGCCTGTCTGCTCTGCAGGTTCCGGGTCTGGAGCGTCTCAGCTGTGTATGGACAAGGTGGCAACCGGGCAGGCCATTGCTCATGTGAGTGATAAGTGTTGAAGTGGGAGGTAGTGCATGGGTGGGTGGATGGGTGTGGTGCGCATGAGTGAGTGGAGGGTGCATGTATGCACATGCTTGTATGCGTCTGAGGCGTCTCAGCTGTGTATGGACAAGGTCACCACTGGCCAGCCAATCACTCGTGTGAGTATTGAGGATGGGTACATGGGTGAGAGTCAACATCAGCGGCGAGGCTGTCTGCTTGTGTGCTTGCCGAGCCTAAACCTTCGCAGCTCATGTAAGTTCTGGCTGTGAGCGAGTGAACAGGTGTGACAGATTGATTCCTGAGATTCTTTGCAAGAGTTTCTAAGTGCAAGAGATCACTTTTCGAGCTTGAGCTTGCTGCTTTCTATCCCTTTCTCAATTTGATATCTCTTTCTTCTTGATTTCTCGCGATCCTTCCTTCTTCCTTTCTCTTACTTCCTGCTTTCATTACCTCCAGCTGACCTCGCAAGGGATCTTCTCGGCTCGAAAGCTGCTCCTGTCCATTGACCAACTGCTGCCCTGTGCTGCTCCTTCTTCCTCTTCTGCTGCTGCTTCTGCTGGGGCTGGTGATGCTGCTGCTGGCGCTGATTCTGTCGATGCCACGTGGCAGCGTTTGATTGGCGAACTCCAGGCAGACTCATTCTGTGTGAAGCCCGCGACAGACGGGTGCTCTGCTGGCGTTGCCCGACTCGCGTGAGTGCAGTGCGGTTCTGTGCGGTACGGTGCGGTGCAGTGCAGTGCGATGCAGAGAAGTGGGATAAAGGTTGGCTGGGTTCAGATGGGTGCCAGCTGGTTTGCTGTAACCCCATTCCGTTCCAAGTAATCACAAAGTTTGGTTGCAACACTTCGTCAGAGTGGTTGAGTTCGGTACAGAGGGTTGATGGATGGGTACACTGCAGCACTGGACCGTGATCATTGTAACTACCAACTAACCGGACTTCCCTCTCCTATATCTTTGCGTCGTCAGCCTTTCGTCAACCCAACTCCTCCCCGTCTCTTCTTTCCTCCCGTTCACCTTTGAGGCACCTCAATCCTAGCCAGCTTTCCCGTCTCTCCTTCCCTCTCGTTCACCCTTCTTGTGTATCCCCTTCCCTGTCGGTTCGTTTGCACACCATCCTAGCAACCCATCCGACTTAGCAGCCTACGTTGCAGCAGTGAGGGATGCGGCTCCCCGCCTGCTACCCGGACAACTCTCCACGGTGAGTGGGTGGGGACGTGCGTGAGTGAGTGTGAGAGTGTATGTGAGTGAACAAATGAGTGAGTGCATGTGTGAGTGAACATTCAGGGAGGCAGCTCCCCGCCTGCTGCCTGGCCAACTCTCCATGGTAAGTGGTGGTGGGTGCACAAATGAGTGATTGTATGGGTGAGCGAGTGTGTATGAGAGAGTGAGTGAGTGAGTGTGTATGAGAGAGTGAGTGAGTGAGCAGTCAGGAATGCTACCAGGCCAGCTCCCTACGGTGAGACCAGGCCAGCTGTGTGGGATAGTGGGGACGCCTGTTCGCCCCCCGACACATATACTCTTCAAACCCTTTATAAAAGAAAAACCCCATTCGACCGCTGCCGGCACTTCCTGCTTTGCTCCTCCACCCTCACCCCTGCCTGTCTCATCCTTCCTCCCACCCCTGCTCTCCTTTTCCCCACCCCCCCAGCTGTGCGGCATAGTGGAAATGCCTGTTCGCCTCCCAACCCATCTGCTCTTCGAACCCTTCATCGTAACAATTTTATTTTTCTCCTCTTCCCTCTTTTTCCCTTCCGACTCCCCCCCCCCCACCCTCTCCCCTCTCACCCCCCCAGTTGTGTGGGATAGTGGAAATGCCTGTTCGCTCCCCAACCCATCTGCTCTTCGAACCCTTCATCGTAACAATTTTATTTTTCTCCTCTTCCCTCTTTTTCCCTTCCGACTCCCCCCCCCCCCCACCCTCTCCCCTCTCACCCCCCCAGTTGTGTGGGATAGTGGAAATGCCTGTTCGCCCCCCAACCCATCTGCTCTTCGAACCCTTCATCGAAACAGACCCCATTCGACCGCTCCCGGCCCCACAGCAGCAGCAGCAGCAGGAAGAGGAGGGTTCGTGTGACAATAACGAGGGGCTGGTGTGGGAAGGCAGGCGGCGGTGGGTGGAGGTGACTGTAGGGGTGGTGGGGCACAGGGGAAGGATGAAGGCTCTGGCTCCGAGTGTGACTGTAAAGGAGGCTGGAGACGTGCTCACCCTTGAGGAGAAGTTTCAAGGTGAGTGTGACAATAACGAGGGGCTGGTGTGGGAGGGGAGTTGGTGGGGCACCGGGGGCTCTGGCCCCGAGTGTGACTGTAAGGGAGGCTGGAGACGTGCTCACACTGGAGGAGAAGTTCCAAGGTGAGTGTGACTGTAATGTCGTGATTGGAGAGATTTGTGACTGTGAGAGTGTGACTGTAGGGTGTGACTTTAGAAAGTGGTGTATTAGCAGAATATAGCGTTGATGAAGGTGGTGTTATGTTAAATTGGTTTCTAATGCCGGGTGAAGTGTCATGTCACTAACGTACTGCTATTGTTGAAAGTGTCAGAAGAATCCACAACTAAACTCCTTTTTCTGGATACCTGTCACCCCCGGCCATCCAATGCACCGTTCTAATCCCAGGTGGCACGGGCATCAACCTCACTCCTCCTCCAACGTCAATCATCAGGTATCGCCCTTTCTTCCCTTATGTCACTAATTTTTTAGACTCCTTAAAGCGGCAGTATACATTTGTCAGCGGGGTTTAGGGTTTGTGAGTGTGCCTCACAGTTTTGGGGCAACTTTTCAAGTTCCTAAGGATTTTGAACCCTTCCTGTCAAATGTATACCGGAGCTTTAAAGCTCTTCCCCTCACACACACACCCTCTATCTTCTGCTGCACCATTGTGCCACTACCTCATTTCTCACACGCTTTGCAGCTTTTTTTTTTCTAACCAAACCTTTCAACTATGCTCGAAATGCCACTTTTTGTCAAACCTTCAACTATGCTTTGACTTGAAATTCGAGTTTGCCTGGCTGTGCATGCCCGTAAGACTGATCGAATGTATGCGATGTTGTCGGAACGTGAAACGACTGAATCTTCCTCTATTGATGGCTTCATGTATGGTTACATGGAATACATATCATTTTGTGTCTTTCCTGAACTCTTTCTGCCACCCCTGCCAGTGCAAGTGCCCAGGATGCAGGGCGGAGGCGCATTGAGATGGTGGCCAATGCTCTCGACGTTGATGGCTTCACTTTTGCTGGCCTAGGGCTGGCCTAGGGACCAAGTATACATCTGTGTTCATGGTTGCCCCTCTCTACCTCCCCTGCCAGTGCAAGTGCGCTGGAGGAGGGTCGGAGGCGCATTGAGATGGTAGCCAGTGCTCTCGACATTGATGGCTTCACTTTGGTTTGCTGCGAAAGCTTTGATTTGGTTCCGTCCTTGCCTCTCTCTGCCACCCTTGCCCCACTTTTCCACCTCCAACAGTGCAAGTGCGCAGGAGGAGGGGCGGAGGCGCATTGAGATGGTGGCCAATGCTCTTAACATCGATGGTTTCGCCCGAATTGATGCCTTCATGCATGCAGACACGGGCGAGGTAAGTTCATTGTATTGAACTCTGCACATTCTTTCCATATCCGTGTGGTGTTTGCTGAGCAATATTTTTTCCTTTCCTAATTTTGTTCATGCGTTTCCTCGTCTTTCGTTATTTATTGTGCAGGTGATTGTTATTGAGGCTAACACTGTCCCGGGCATGACTCCGTCAACTGTACTCATGCACCAGGTGCCATTTTAGCGTTTCACACTGGTTATCATACCTTGCTATCATACCTTGTTATTAGCCTCATATGCTCACTCATACCTTTGTTTATTTTGTTTTTTTCCTGCAGGCCCTAGCTGAGTCGCCACCAATTCGACCACGAGATTTTTTCGCCATGGCAGTTGAGCATGCTATTGAAAGGCATTCAAACATGTGATGTGTGATTAGTGTACTTTAGCTACAACAAACTCCAGTGCTTAGGTGTAGTGGAGTTATTGCACTCTGAAATTGTTGTTGAGTATGTTGATGTGGGGACGAGGGGTTTTTTCAGGTGTGTGAGATGTCTAGTTCGCTGAACGTCGCCAACAGCGTCCACCAATCAGACTGAGGCAGAAGGTTGATGCACGGAAGTTGAGGGGCAACGGATGGGATTCCAGGATCTGAGCGAATCCACGGCATATCAACGTTGTGTGCGATAATGCAACGAGATGGGCGAGCTTCGCGAGGACCTGCGGGAACTCCCCTTCTCCTGATCCATTGGGGGAACAGTCGGAGCCTCAGCATTATCGAGGGCTTGGGCGACAGCAGCATCCTTGGAGTCTCATTCACATGCTGGCGTCGCACCTGCTTACCCGGTCGTCACACATCCTCACCCTGGTTTCGTCAATCGCCAGTCACCGGAATCTGGCGTGCATTCTGTGTGCCATGCAGTTCCCCTGCGACACCGCTGGTCGTGCGACTGTCGCTGTGTCGTGGCTGTCACACAGTATTCATTCTACTGCGACGATTACGGGTCGTCAAGAATCCTGCGAAATTCGTTACATACCTCCATCCCCTTCATCGTTCTCTTACGATGCTATGGTTTCAACACTGCTAGGGGCTGACACAGCCGTTGTTCGTAGATATTCTGAGTGCATTCCACTATCAGGGGTTTTGTTCCTTTTTTGTTCAGGTTCTTTTCTCTCCTGAAGAGCTCAAATCATTTTTTTTTGTTCCCCTTCTTTCGTGGAAGCTTACCGTAGCAGAAAACACGCCGATTTTTGTAGGCCTGTTTCTGAATAACGGAATAATTCCGGCATTTTTTTTGTTGCCATCAAGGGTTGGCAGTTTAGACACCAATGACGTTGTCTATGAGGTCTTAAACGACGCACTTCGCACAGGCGCTTACCGTATATGCCACGTTTCCTGACGGTTTTTTTATCCCGAAGTCGCGTCTGGTCATAGAATGGCGAATTCTGGAAAAGGCGGTCGGAAAGATAAATCGGCTTCAGGCCGGCCTTCTGCACAGAAGCAGCGAAAGAGAGGTTCAGATTCCCGAGTCCAGAAAATCGAGGATCAGACTAGAGACGAAGCTTCGTTATTGACGGATTCAGTAACAGACCAGAGCACGCTGGTGCATAGCACCGAGAATAAGGAGGACGAAAAGCCAGAGAAGCTTCCTCAAGTTCGAGCCGTGATTCCCGGTCCTACGCCTGGATCTCGTGTGACTATAGCGGTGGGAAGTAGTATCCATGAGATCTGCCTCGTTCCGCTGCTGCAAATTAGATGGATCAGGCCGCAGAAGGTCGGACCTGGCTTGCGAAATTTGGGTAACACGTGCTACCTGAATAGCGTGTTACAATGCTTGACGTACACGCCGCCGCTCGCGAATTTCTGCCTGCAGCAGCAGCACACCAAGATCTGTGAGTTCCTGATGAGCCATACGTTGAACACGTAGTTATTCAAATGTTTCTCCGGTTTTAGTGTCACTAATACCGTTAGCTTGATAAATTACTTGTCAGGATCGGTGTGCAGCAACAGCAACAGCAACAGCAACAGCAACAGCAACAGCAGCAGCAACAGTAACAGCGTAGGACCTTTAGTGCGAATGCTAAAAATGCTAGGCAGAGTAAAAATATCCCTTTTATTGGCCAGCTGAACTGTGCTCGGATTCTTGAAACAGTTTTTTTTTCTCAATCAGTCATCGTAGGTTAGCTTTCTGACAGTTGAGACAGATATCAGGCAGACAAAGAATAGCATCACTGAAATGGTAAACACTCGTCAGTACGCAGTAGCATCAGCGAGTGACGGTTAACATTCTCCCGTTCAGATTAGCATCGCTCGTAGGTTGGCGTTAGTCAGTTCTTGTTAACATCCAGGACTTGGATTAGCATTCATTAAGCTATGAGTAGGAATCAGTCAGGTCGAATGAGCTTGTTATTCAGTTCAGATTAGCATCCAAAATGTTCACGTTAGCATTCATCCAGTTCAGTTCAGCATTCAGTCAGTTCAGATGAGCATTCAGGCAGTTCAAATTAGCGTTCATTTATCCCAGATTAGCATTCAGTCAGTCCGGATTAACATTCAGGCAGCCCAGAGTAAATTTTAATAATGTCAGGTATTCAGTCAGTTCAGATTATAGTTCATTCAGTCCAGATGGCATTTTATCAGTCCGCATTAACATCAGACAGTCGGTTTGGCATAAAAAAACTGTTCTTACTGTGTTTCATCAGTTCGGTTCGGTCCAGTGAAATGATATGGGTTTCAGGTTAGATTGTAAGGATGTAAGGATGTGGTGCTTATCACTGGAGTGAGGCATGCATGGAGTCCTCTGAAGTTTCACCTTGTTGACTCGATAACTGCTGCATCTCGTCAGGTGTTCCATATTATACTGTGGAGTTAATTTCTATTCCTCCTTATGCTCTTTCAGATGCCTCTGCTTCCTTGTTGGCACCACTCATCCCCTTCTAAACCCCTCTCACTCCCTCCACCTCGCCCCTCAGGTGCACTTTTGAACCCTGGGGGAACAGCGTCCTGCCCTTTCTGCATTCTGGAGCGCCGTATCGCTCGCTCTTTGACTCTCGAGGCTGCCCGGGACACGCCTAGAGTTGTAGTGAACCGCTTAAAGCTCATTGCCAAGAGCTTCAGTCACGGGCGGCAGGAGGACGCACATGAGTTGCTTCGATACGCGATAGAAGCATGCAACAGAGCGTGTGTAGCTCTCCACAAGAAGGTAGCTGCTGCTGCTGCAGCTGCTGCTGCTTCTGCGGCTGCTATTACTGCCAGTGGGCCGAACGGCAGTCCGGATGTGACTAAATCGGGGCCTGTGAGAGCACTGAACCAGCTAGTGGAAGGGATGTCTTTAAACGAGGGGGCCAGCGTTCAGAAGATGCACACGAGACGAAGCTCTAGGCTCTCCTTAGACCGCGCAAACAGCGGTAGGGATTCAGCAGAGGGAGTTCCATTCCCCCAGCAGCAGTTGGCCACAGAGCAGGAGTCAATGCAGTTGGGCGAGTTGACCGGCAGTGAGGGATCCCTGGTGCCTCAGTTGGGAGACCCTGTAGAGAACACCGATATGGACGTAGACGCGGACACAAACGTAGACGCAGACGTGACAGAAGTGCCTGAACCGTCTGCTGCTTCCGCATCAGGGCCGGCTACAGGATCATCATCAGCAGCGGCTGTAGCGGATGAGGCAGATGTAGCAGCGGCCGGTAGCAGTAGCAGCGGGGGTGGGAGCGTGCCTAGGAGACGGATGAGCCTGAGAAGGCGAGGGTTTGCCACTGATGGGGAGGAAGAGGAGGACAGGGACGGGGGTTTTGGGCATGCGGGATCAGGGGCGGGGGCGGGGAGGGGAGTGGGCGGAGGCAGGGCGCGGAAGGGAAGGGGAGTTGCGCTGCGGGTAGGGCTGCATGTTTTGCCTGGAAGGGGGAAAGGGCGGGGGGCAGGGGCGGCAGGGGCGGCAGCAGGGGCGGCAGCGGATCAGATTGGCTCACCTGGAAAATCTCCTGGTAGAAGCAAGGGAAGCCCCAGGGGAGCAGGGGGGTTAGGCGGAGGGGCGGCAGGTGGGGGCGGAGCAGGGGAGGGAGGCGCAGGGGGTTGTTCAGGTGGACAGGACGAGCCGCACACCATAGTGAAAGAGATTTTTGGCGGGATATTGCAGAGCCAGATTCGGTGCTTGCAGTGTGATGGGGAGTCTAATAAGAGGGATGCGATTTTGGACCTAAGTTTAGACGTGCATAGGCTGGGGTCGCTAAAAGACGCGCTTAATAGGTTCACCAAGCCGGAAGTTCTGGATGGGGAGAATAGATACCGGTGCGATAAATGCAACCGGCTGTCTGCTGCGCGAAAGGCTCTTACGATCTTTCATGCGCCCAACATTCTTGTGATTCAATTCAAGGTGCGGGCAAGATTAGTTTTACCTCCTGTTATCCATGCGAGAAGGGCCCTTTGTTTTTCATGCCGAGCATGTGATTCAGTCTCTTCATTGCTTAAATGCTTGCATCATTGCTTGCTTCCGTGCATCCTTGCCTTCCCGACTGCAGAGGTTTGTGAACTTGTTTGGCGGGAAACTTGACCGCCAAATTCGACTCCTGAGACGCTCCAAAAGTCTTTCTTGCTCTCATCCTTGCCTCCGTTGCTTGCTTCCGTGCATCCTTGCCTTCCTGACCACAGAGGTTTGAGAACGTGTTTGGAGGGAAGATTGACCGCCACATTCGATTCGAGGAGCGTGTCTCATTGAAAGGCCACATGAGCGGCTGTAGCAAGGTGGGTTCAAGCAGATGGGGGACTGTAGCAAGCAAGGTAGGTATACAGAAAGTTTCATTTGAAGTACTTGAGCGACTGTAGCAAGATTGGTTAAAGGACTTATTACCTGCTATCATTGCTATGTAGCAAGGTGAGTCCCTATTCCCTGCTATCATTGTTCTCTGGATTTCCAGCCACAGTACACTCCCTTTAAAAAATACATCTGCTTGTTGCTCACCTCCTGCCATTTCTGTCCCCCGACCGCTTCCCTGCTCGGTTCCTTGCTATCATCCTTCTCAGGACTCCCAGCCAGAGTACACACTCTTTGGCGTGGTGGTCCATGCGGGGTCGTCTCAAGACTCGGGCCATTACTATGCATATGTCAAGGTAGGTTGCTATGCTACGCTTATGTAGAGGTACATGGTTAAGAGATGTCTCAAAACCAACCTTATTTCTCGGGCCATTACTATGTATATGTCAAGGTACGTTGCTATGCTACGCTTATGGGGAGGTAAGCGGTTTCGAGATGACTCAAAACCAACCTTATATCTCGGGCCATTACTATGCATATGTCAAGGTACACTGCTATGCTTATGTCAAGGTACACTACTACGCTCATGCCGAGCTACACTGCTTTGCGTATGTGAAATACACTAATTTGCATATGTAAAGGTGCACTGCATATGCGACCAACAAGTCCGCGTGCTCATAACCCTGCGTCGCTATCAGACCGAGAGTGCTCATTTTGATCTCCTCCTTCCTCCCTCTTCCCTCCTCCCCCCTCCCTCCTCTACCCCCTCTCCCCCTTTTTACCCCTTTCGCCCCCTCTTCTCTCCCTCCTTTCTCCTCCCCCCCCTTTTTCAGTACTCCACGGCAAGTGGTCCTGCTGTGACAACTGCTCCGTCTCACCAGTGGCCCTCCCATTAGGCAACACGGCCTACATGCCCTTATACCACCCCACCCTCTCCTCCTTCCTTTTTCCTTCCCCCCCTCCCGCCCTTTTCAGGACTCCATTTGCAAGTGGTCCTGCTGTGACGACGGTACCGTCTCCCCAGTGGCTTTCCTATCAGGAAACACGGCCTACATGATCTTATACCTCTTCCCCTCTTTTTCCCTTCGTCCGCCCTTCCGCCCCCCCCTGCAGGACTCCACGGGCAGGTGGTCATGTGACGACTGCTCCGTCTCCCCAGTCGCCTTCCCAGACGTCCTAGCAGACAAGGCCTACATGCTCTTCTACCTCCGCCTCTCCCCATTTTCCCCCTTCCTCCCCCGTTCCTCCCCTTTTGCAGGACTCCACGGGCAAGTGGTCCTGCTGTGACGACTGCTCCGTCTCCCCTGTCGCCCTTCCAGACGTCCTAGCAGACAAGGCCTACATGCTCTTCTACCTCCGCCTCTCCCCTCTCGCTTCTCTTTCTCTCCCCCTTCCCCCCCCTTTCTCTCTGCTTTTTCTCCCCGTTCTCTCCCTGTTCTCAACCACTTATCTCCGCCTTCTCTCCCCCTTCCCCCCCCCTACTCTCCCCCTTTTCCCCTCCATCAGGACTCCACTGGCAAGTGGTCCTGCTTTGACGATTGTTCCGTCTCCCCAGTGGCTCTCCCAGACGTCCTAGCAGACAAGGCCTACATGCTTTTCTACCTCCGCCTCTCCCCATTTTCCCCCTTCCTCCCCCCTTCCTCCCCTGCAGGACTCCACAGGCAGATGGTCCTGCTGTGACGACTGCTCCGTCTCCCCAGTGGCCCTCCCAGACGTTCTAGCAGACAAGGCCTACATGCTCTTCTACCTCCGCCTCTCCCCTCGCCCCCCCGGATCCACCTCCCTCTCCTCGCTCTCCTCGCCCACCTCCCCCCGCCCCTCCCACCGCTCGCCCGCTCCCCTGTCTCTTGATCATACCAACAAGTCTCCTCTCTCTCCGACTCGGTCTGGGAAGCTCGCTGCTTCCCGCCTGAGTGCGGATCTGCAGCTGTCAACTGCTGCTGCAGCAGCTGCTGCTTCTGCTGGCGCTAGTGCTGCTGCTGCTGGGGCCGGGGCTGGGGTTTCTGATTCTCTTGGTGCTGCTACATCTGCTACAGCTGCTACAGCCGTCCCACCTGGCCGCCTGTCCCTTCCTGTACCTGGTGCCTTCCCGTCAAAACTCAGTGTTTCAGCCGCCAAGCTAGAACCCCTAGAGACGGCAGTAGGGCCTGGTCCCCTGTCAGAAGCGGGTTACATGGTTACACGTGAGCCATCACCAGGCCCTATGGAGTTACCAGCAGCAGCCGTCGAGCAAGCAGAGGGAGAAGTAGAAATAGATGGAGAGGAAGCGGCAGAAGCAGAGGCAGAAGCAGAAGCAGAGTTACGAGGAGAGGCGGTTTTGGCAATGGCAGATCTAGTAGGGGTCCGGGCAGGTGACGCTGCTGGTGGGGCTTTACCTAAAGCTGTGTCTGCGCTTGCAGCCCTGGGGTTAGTGAGGAGGAGCGTTGCTGCTGCTGTTCCTGCTCCTGCCGTGCCTGCTGCTGCTCCTGTTGCCGCTTCTGTTGCTGCTCCCGCTGCTGCTCCTCCTGTTCTTCCTCCTCCTGCTGCTTCTGCTGCTCCTGTTATTGCTCTTCCCACTGCTTCTGCAGTTGCTCCCGAGTCTACCTCTGCTCTAACAGCTGCTGCAGCTGCTTCAGGTGATGAAAGCGGGCGAAGGAGGGAGAGCAGCAGCAGGGGGAAAAGCATTGAGAAGCATGGGGTGGTTTGCGGGGTTAAGAGAGTGACTCTGGTGAAGAGGATTGCAGATCTCGCAGCAGACGCATCTACTGCTGCTGCGCCCCATTACGTCTCTGTACCTGATGAGCCTGCTGTGCCTGCTGCTGCTGCTGCTGCTGCTGCTCCCGTTCCTGCTTCTGCTGGTGCTGCTCCTGCATCTAGTGCTGCTGCAGCAGCTCCGCTAGAAGGCGATGATCCAAGGGCAGGTGCAGCAGCACCTCACTTGGATAGCAGGGCGCTAACCTCAGATGCAGCAGCTTTCCTAGATGCCAAGGGGTCAAGGACAGGTCCAGGAGCTATCTTGGACCAGGCGCTAAGCTCAGGTGTAACTGGTCCCCTGGGTGGCAATGAGTCAAGGATAGGTGCAGCAGGGTGTGCGCGAACGGCAGCAGCAGTCAGCAGCAAGCGTGTTCCAGGGGCAGCAGCAGCACCAGCAGCAGCCGCAGCAGTGGCACTAGCAGTGCCACAAGTAGCAGCTGCTGCGGCAGAGGCAGTTGTGGGGTTGGTGATTTCAGGTGCGACAGGTGCCAGCCCAGCAGCACAGGCAGTTATGTTGCCAGAAACATCTGCTTCTTTAGCAGCACAGGCAGTTATGTTTCCAGAAACACCTGCTATTTTAGCAGCACAGGGGAGTTTATCACAAAACAAAGTTGCATTACTAGCAGCGGCCACAGGGGTTTCCACATCCCCAGCTGCAGCAGAAAAGACTGAAACAGGTGCGTTATTGAGCACAACGAGATTCGAACTCGCGACCTTTCGAGTCACAGTGAAGGGAAGGCAAGCTGCAGAGCCAGTCACGAGGGAAGACACGTCTGGGGCATCTGTGCCCCACGAAATGAGGGATGACGGATTGCAAAGCGAAGTGGGGCAAGATGGAGGGTGCCTCGTTGGATGGTTGGAATGCAGGGAAGAAGATTTAGTAGACGAGAGGGAGGCATTGGCAGTGGGAGAGATGGCAGAGGGAGAGACAGTGGAGGGGGGGACAGGAGAGAGGGAAACAGGAGAGGGGGAGACAAGAGAGCGGGAAACTGCAGAGGGGGAAATGGCAGAGGGGGAAGTAGGAGAGGAGGAAACAGCAGAAGGGGAAACAACAGAGGGAGAAGCAGGAGAGGGAGCAATGGGCGGCAATGTTGGGGAAGACAAATCCCATGAGGAGGAGGGCTTTAGCTCAAGGCATTGGGAAAACGAGGTTCTCACAAAGGAGTCTAATGACGAGGGTGTGCTTGGAAGGGAAGGGTTAAGGGCCGTGACCTTGGGAGAGGAAGTGGCGTTGGGAGAGGAGGCTTTGGGGGAGGCAGCATTGGGAGAGGAGGCTTTGGGGGATGCAGCGTTGGGAGAGGAAGATTTTAGTGGGGAGATTCTCCAACAGAAGACTTTTGAGACGCCTCAAAAAAGGGAGACAGCATTAGGAGAGGAAGAGTTTAGTGGGGAGGTGATTCTCCAACAGAAGTCGGCTGTGGTGCACCCAAGTGCTCCTAGTGCTTCTGCTGCTGTTGCTGCTGGGTTTTCTCCTCCTCCCGCCACCCTTCCTCCTGCTGCCGCTGCTGCCTCTGCTGCCGCCCCTGTGGAACTTCTGCTACCTCCTTATCCTTCTCCACCTCCTCCTCCTCTTCCTATCCCTCATTTGCCTGCTTCTGTTCCTCCTTCCATTCCTCGTTTATCACCTACTGCTCCTGCTTCAATCCCTCATGTGTCATCTCCTTATCCTTCTCCATATCAGCCTCGTTCTACTCCTTCTCGTGTCTCTCCCCCTCTTCCTTCTCTTCCTCGTCTGTCTCCTCCTCTCGCGTCTGCTCCTCTTTCTCCTCCGCTTCCACCTGCAACAACTCTATCGCCTGCACTACCTGTTCCGTTTGCTCCTAGCCCCGCTATTTCTCCTGGACCCAGCGTGGAAAGTTCTGTTCCGGCACAGTATGGAGTAGTAAATTCTGCTTCTAGCGCGGATGGTATTACTGGCAGGGGTTTTGGCACCAACAAGAGCATTAGTGGCGGAGCAGAGACAGGGACACAAGTTGCTGCTTCGGAAGAGGTGGCAGCGACAGGAGGTGCAGTGACAGGAGGTGCAGCAATCAGTGATTTTGTGGCTGCTCAAGCAAGCGGATTTTTCACTGCTGCCCAAGCAAGCGGGATCCTTGCCACTTCTGCAGGCCAAGAAGCAGTGGCAGCACACGCAGCGCGAGCAGTCAAGGCAGAATCAGACCTCCTGAATACCCCAGCATCCAATTTGTTGCAGCCTGACAGGTTCTGGGGTGATCTGGTGTATGGGCGAGTGGCAGGAGTTGCTCCTGTGGCTGTAGCGGCAGTGACGGCGGCTACAGCTGTAGCGACCCGTTTTGAGCAAGGGCAGCAGCAGCAGCAGCAGCAGCTGATTCACAATCAGCAGCAGCCAGTTGTTGAGGCGCCTCACCAATTCGAACAAGGGCAGCAGCAGCAGATGCACAATCAGCAGCAGCCTAATGTTGAGGTGCCTCAGTATCACCAACTGACCCATTTCGAACAGGGGCAGCAGCAGTTGATGCACAATCAGCAGCATCAGCAGCCCCAACAGTTGGTGCTGCCGCAAAAGCAGCAGCAGCTGGTGATATTGCGTCAGCAACAGCAGCAGCAGCCGCATCAGCAGCATCGGCAGCACCTGGGAGGGCAGCTGCTGCAGCAACAGATGCTGCATCAGCAGCAGCAGCAGGCGCAGCAACAGGCGCAGCAGCAGGCACAGCAGCAGGCGCAGCAGCAGCAGCAGCAGCAGCAACATCCGTCCCTGCAGCCAATACAGTCACTCACTGCCCCTGTCGTTGCCCCTGCCCCTGCTTCTGTCCCTGTCATTGTCCCCCTCCCTGTCCCTGCCCCTCTCCCTGTTCCTGCCCCTTTCTCTGCCCTTCTCCCTGCCCCACTCCCTGCCTTTTCCCAGCCGCCCACGTGCACGCGCTTGGTGCTCCCACCAATGGCATGGCGCCCTTCACACTCCCCCCACCAAAAGACCCATTCACATCCCCCCCAGCACCTTTCACAACTGCCCCAGCAACAACCTCTCTCACACTCCCCCCAGCACCTTTCGCAGCTGCCTCAATCCCAGCAACATCCCCTCCCACACTCCCCCAAACTAAAACTTCTCTCACACCTCTCCCAACGGAATGCTCTTTTGCATTCCCCTGAGCAGAAGCCTTCCTCACAGCTCCTGCAGCAGGTGCCTTTTGAACCGATTCCAGCCATTCCGTCACACCCCACACAGCAGCATCAACTGCCCTGTCAGTCATTCCCCCCCGTATTTCCACAGGCTCCTCAACAGATGCCCCTTAATTCAAATCCAATCGTTCTGCCAGAGCGCGAGCAGCAGCAGCACGAGCAGCAGCAGCAGCAGCTGCCTTTTCTCCCAGGCAGTGCTGCAACTGCCGTTTCAATCCCCACGCAACAGCAACAACTGCCCTTTCAGTCATTCCCTGCCATGCTTTCACAGCCCCCCCCACCACAGAAGCTGCCTCTTGAACGGATGTCAACTGCTGTAGCACAGTCCACTCAGCAGCAGCAGCAGCAGCAGCAGCAGCAGCAGCAGCAGCAGCAGCAGCAGCAGCAGCAGCAGCAGCAGCAGCAGCAGCAGCAGCCGTTCCACTCATTTCCTGTGGTAGTAATGCAACAGCCCCCGCACGAGATAGAGCAGCTACAGCAGGCGCCTCTTGAACGGATGTCGAATGTCCCCTCACAACAGCAGTTGCCATGTGTGGTGTTTCCTCCTCCCCCGCAGCAAATAGAGCAGCCGCAAAATCTACCTCTTGAACGGATGTTGAATGCTGTATCCCCCCCCACTCAACAGCAGCAACCGCTGTGCCAGTCATTTCCTGTGGTGTTTCAGCAACCCCCGCATCGTATAGAGCAGCTACAGCAGGTGCCGCTTGAATTGATTGAAAAGGTTCTGTCACGGCGCATGCAGCAACAGCAAGTGCTGGAGCAACAGCAGCAGCAACAGCAACAGCAACAGCAACAGCAACAGCAACAGCAACAGCTGGAGCAACAGCAGCAGCAACAGCAACCGCAGCAACCGCAGCAGCAACAGCAGCAACAGCAACAGCAACTGCTGGAGCAACAGCAGCAGCAACAGCAACAGCTGGAGCAACAGCAGCAGCAACAGCAACCGCAGCAACAGCAGCAACAGCAGCAGCAGCAACAGCAACAGCAACAGCAGTCGCAGCAGCAACAACAGCAACAGCAGTCACAGCAGCAACAACAGCAACCGCAACAACAGCAGCAACAGCAGCAGCAACAGCAACAGCATCAGCAGTCGCAGCAGCAACAACAGCAACAGCAGTCACAGCAGCAACAACAGCAACAGCAGCAGCGACAGCAACAGCAGCAGCAGCAGCAGCAGCAGCAGCAACAGAATCAGCAGCAACAGCAGCAGCAGCTGCAGCAGCCGCAGCAGCAACAGCTGCAACAACAGCAACAGCAACAGCAGTCACAGCAGCAACAACAGCAGCAACAGCAGCAGCAACAGCAACAACAACAACAGCAGCAACAGCAGCAACAGCAGCAACAACAACAACAGCAGTCACAGCAGCAACAACAGCAGCAGCAACAGCAGCAACAACAGCAACAGCAGGAGCAACAACAGCAACAACAGCAGCGACAGCAACAGCAGCAGCAACAGCAAGAGCAGCAGCAACAGCAACAGCAGGAGCAACGGCAGCAGCAGCAGCAACACCAGCAACCTCACCACCAGCCACAGCAACAGCAGCAGCAACAAGTTTCGGATTTCCAAGTCAGATCACCTGCTTCTGTCAAAGTAGGTAGGCCAGTAGAGGGTTCGATAGTATCACACCAGGTACAGTCACCTCCTGCTCTGCCTCTCTCCCCTCCACAACTGCTCACCCGGTCAAGAAGAGCAGCTGCTGCTGCTGCTGCTGCTGCTGCCGCCGCATCAGGAGCAGCAGCACCAGCCGCAGCAGCAAGGGAAGCTGTAGCGGCTACAGCTGCTGTGGCAGAAGCAGGGAGGCCTGTAGCTGAAGTGAAGGTAGAGCGAGTGAGCAAAAGAAGCATCAATACTTACAGTCGAATCCAGTCTCGGCCCCCCGCTTTTGCTGACCTGGCATCATGCGATCACACATCATTATCTGACGGCTCTGGGCCGGCTGCTGAGGTGGCAGCTGATGTGGCACCGGCTGCTGATGCCACGTCAGCACGCCCGAGAGCGCGCTCTGCTGTCCCGTTACCTCCACGCGCCAAGCTTCCCCGGGCGGCAAAGTCGAACCGTGTCGGGACCGTTGAGCTCATCAGCGGAAGACTGTCCACGTCAGCATCTCACCTGCCAGCTCAGACCTCCGTTTCGCCAGCTCAGGCGTCGCCCTCGCCACCTCAGAGGCGCTTGGGATTGAAGCAGGTGAATTTAAAAGAGAAAGTGAGGGCGGATAGGGCACCAGAGGCTAGGGTTCGGGAAGTTGGAGTGAGATACGTGGCTGTAGCAGATGTGGGCTTCAGAAGTGGTGGTGTTGTGGGCGCTGGGGGAGGCAGTGGTGGGGAAGGGGGTATTGGGGCAAGTGGTGTTGTTGGGGGAGGGGGTTTTGGGGGAAGTGAAGTTGGGGGTGCTGGTGGTTATGGTGTTTCTGGTGACATAGGGTTTAAGGATGCGGATAACTTCGCTGCTGGTAGTGGCACAGGCTTGAAAGGTGCTGATACCACTGCTGCCAGTGATCATGGCACAGGCATTCGAGAAGCGACCAATGATGCAGCTGGTGGTGTTGGTGGTGGTGGTGGTGGTGGTGATGGCACAGGCATTGCATATGCCGATAACACTGCAGATGCTGATGCTGCTGCTGCTGCTGCTTGTGGTGGCGGTGGTGGTGGTAGTGGCAACGCAACCATTACACCTGTGGATGAATGCAACAATCTTGTTGAAGGTTCCAGTGATGTCAGTGTGAGAAGCCCGCCTAGTGGTAATGTGGAGGCTAGAATACCCGACTCTGGTGGTGGCAGGGGCATTAGAGGTGCGGAATTTTCTGAGCAAGGCATCAGAGCCGTAGATTCTGCTGGTCAGGCTGTCAGAGTCGTCAGATCTGCCGAGCAGGACATCAGAGTCGTCGATTCTGCCGGTCAGGCTGTCAGAGTCGTTAGATCTGCCGACCAGGACATCAGAGTCGTCGATTCTGCCAATCAGGGCGGCAGGGGTGCGGATTCTGCCATCGAGGAGGGTAGAGGCGGGGATTCTCTGGACCGGACAGGTGCAGGTAAGAGGGCTGATGTGAAGTGCTTTGAGGCACCTGAAAAGGGGGATTCTCTGGCGTGGACAGCAGCAGGGAGGTGGGCGTGTTTTGAGACGTCTCGGGGGGCGGATTCTCAAACAAAGTCTTTTGAGGCTCCTGAGAAGACAGATTCCCTGGCGTGGACAGCAGCAGGGAGGTGGGCGGAGCTGCAGTGGAGTGCAGAGGATGAAAGATGCCTGCTTGCCGCTACTGAAGACTTGGATGGGGTTTTGGGGGGCGAATTGAGTGGGGGTTTAGGGTTGGGAGATGGTTTCGATGGGGATGTGGATGGGGGTTTGGGAGGGCTTTCGGGTCAAGATTTAGAAGATTTCGGGTTTGGGGAGGCGGATTTTCTTGACTTGCCTTGGACAAATGTGGTTGTTCCGGGTGTGACTGTGGCGAATGGTGCTGCTGCCACAAGTGTGACTGAAGCGCCGGTGAGTGCTTCTTCTAATGTGCTTGTGGCACAGGGGGCTGTTGGAGCTGCACCTGCTGTACATGTGCCTGTAGCAGGTGTGACTGTGGCACAGGGGACTGCTGTGAATGTGACTGAAGCACATGTGACTGCTTCTCATGATGTGACTGTGGCACAGGGGGCTGTTACAAATGGGACTGCTGTGAATGCGACTGTAGCAGGTGCGGAGGGGGCTGCCACAGGTGCTCTGGCTGTGACTGTAACTACAGAGAACTTGAGTTCAATAGCCGATGCAGAAGCAGCAGGGGCAGAAGGAGGGACAGGAGCGGCGGGGTCACACCCCTCACCCGCTCAGGTGCCGTTTCAGGTGGATCAGATGGTTGGTCAGGTGGGTAGTCAGGTGGATGGTCAGGTGGGTGCACAATCATTACCAGCTGGTTTGGGAAAACAGCCTGATGCTTGTGCTGATGTATTCCCAGCTGTATCTTCTGCACCACTTGCATCTGTTGTCTCTCCTGCACCACTGGCACATTTTGTCCCCTCTGTTGGACAGGTGCCAGTCAATTTTCCTGTATTTGCAGCCCCACCTTTCGCTCCTGCCTCCCCTGCTGAGCCCGGCTTAAAGTTTCCCCCCCACACAGTTGCCACCTCCCCACAAACAGTTGCCACCTCCCCCCACACAGTTGTCACCTCCCCCCACACCGTTGCCACCTCTCCCAATACGGTTGCCACCACCCCCCACACAGTGACCACCCCCCCCCACGCAGTTATTGCCTTCCTTCCCACAGTTACCACATCCCCTCCTATAGGTGCCACCTCCCCTCTCACAGTTACCACCTCCCCTCCCCCAAACATGGTTGCCTCCCCCAGCGCCGTAACTCTCCCCCTCTCTTCCCCCGACCCTCTCTCCCCCCAAGTCCCCCCTTCCCCCGCTCCCCCCACCCAAGTTCCCGTGCACTCCAGCCCCCCTTGGGCGCTTGTTGACACAGCAGGGGCGCAGGGGGGCGGAGGTGAAGCACAAGGGATGGGGGATGGGGCGCAAGGGATGGGGGATGGGGCGCAAGGGATGGGGGATGAGGCGCAGGGGGATAAATATGCTGTGGAAACGGGTGCGGATGCAGGGGGGATTGGTGGACGTGCAGGGGAGAACGGGGAAGGGTTTGGGAAAGAAACCGGGGGGTTGGAGGGAGAGGAAGCAGAGGAGGACGGGGAGAAGCGGGAAGTGCAGCAGGAGGGCGAAGAGGAGAGGGAAGGGAAGGAGGAGAAGCAAGGGGAGGGGGAAATGAGAGGGGAGGAGCCAGACAAAGGAGAGGAGCAGAAGAGGGAGGAAGGGCATGGAGGAGAGGAGGAGGCGAGGGACAGTGAGTGGGAAGAGGAGCAAGGGAAGAGGAAGAGGGAGAGGGAAGAGGGGCAAGAGGAGAGGGAGAGGGAGAGGAAAGAGGAGCAAGAGAGGAGAAGGAAGGTTATGTTGTTGGTCGGGCAAGGGGAAAATATGAAGGAAGGGGCAGGAAGTGAAGAACGAGAGGGGGTGGGAAGAGAGGGGGAGGAGGTAGGGGAAGGAAAGTGGGAGGTTAGGGAGGAGGAAGGGGAAGGAGAGGGGGAGGAGGTAATGGTTACGGACGAGCATAAGGTGGAAAAGAAGGATGAGGAGGAGGAAGAGAAGGAGGAAGAGAAGGAGGAAGAGAAGGAGGAAGAGGAGGAAGAGGAGGAAGAGGAGGAACAGGAAGTGAAAGAGGAGGAGGAGGCAGAGGCGGTGGAGGAGGAAGGGGAGGAGAAGAAGGAAGAGGAAGAGGGTAATGATGTTGCAGCAGATAATGACGTGGCAATTGCTGACAATGGTGGTGATGACGTGGAGGGTAGCAACAGTGACGATGATGATGACGTGGTGGAGGTTCCAATGGTTCAGGAACGGCTGACGTGGCCTCCTGGTGGGAATGACAATCCAGGTGCTGCTACGGGTTGTATCGATGCTGATAGTGCAGAAAATGGAGATACTGCTGGTGACGCAGGAGAGGGAGACGCAAGAGAGGGAGAAGCGGGAGAGGGAGACGCAGGAGAGGGAGCGGGAGAGGGAGACACAGGAGAGGAAGAGGCAGCAGAGAGAGAGGCAACAGAAAGAGAAGCAGCAGAAAGAGAGGCAACAGAGAGGGAGGCAGCAGAAAGAGAGGCAACAGAAAGAGAAGCAGCAGAAAAAGATGCAGCAGAGAGAGAGGCAGCAGAGAGGGAGGCAGCAGAAAGAGAAGCAGCAGAAAGAGAAGCAGCAGAAAGAGAAGCAGCAGAAAGAGAAGCAGCAGAAAGAGAAGCAGCAGAAAGAGAAGCAGCAGAAAGAGAAGCAGCAGAGCGAGAAGCAGCAGAGAGAGAGGCAGCAGAGAGGGAGGCATCAGACAGTGAGGCTGAAAAGGGAGCGGCAGCAGAGGAACGAACAGGAGAAGAAACAGAGACAGCAGCGGGGGCAGAGACAGCAGAAAGGGCAGAGGCAGGGGAGGAGGCAGAGGGGGCAGGGAGAGCAAAGGGGGCAGAGGAGGCAGAGGAGGCAGAGGTTGCAAATGGGGCAGAACAGGCAGAGGGGACAGGGGCAGCAGAGGAGGCAGATGTAATAGTAGAGGCAGAGGCTGGAGACGCTGGAGTAGCAGCACAAGGGATAGATACCAGGGGTCCTGGAAAGCTGGAGCCCGCCTTCTCATTGCCCTCTCCGTTGTCAACTTTGGAATCCCACCACAAGGCACCTGTGACTCATAATCAAGCCTTTGTATCCCACAAGTCACCTGTGGCGTCTGATCAACGATGCTCAGCAGTCGAGCCAACTCAAGAGCAGGTTCTAGAGTCTCAGTTGCACAAGTCACCTGTGCTGCAAGTGCAGGCTGTAGAGTCGCACAACAAGTCACCTGTGGCGTCTGATCAACGATGCTCAGCAGTCGAGCTAACTCAAGAGCAGGTTCTAGAGTCTCAGTTGCACAAGTCACCTGTGCTGCAAGTGCAGGCTGTAGAGTCGCACAACAAGTCACCTGTGGCGTCTGATCAACGATGCTCAGCAGTCGAGCTAACTCAAGAGCAGGTTCTAGAGTCTCAGTTGCACAAGTCACCTGTGCTGCAAGTTCAGGCTGTAGAGTCGCACAACAAGTCACCTGTGGCCTCTCTGCACCAGCAGGAATTCCGGAGTGTAGCAGCTGCTGCGGTCGCTTTTGATCCAGGTTACGGTGTTACCAACCAGATGTATCACTTGCAATCCTTGGCTCTGGGTAAGGGTACCGAGCTGAGGCTGGCTAATGTGACACTCCCTGGTTCAGATGTTGCCAGCAGAGCAGCTGACGTGGCGAGCAATGCAGCTTACGTAGCAGTACCTGAGGCTGACGGGGTTGACAGGGCAGCTGATGTGGCAGAGGAGGATGCTGCAGCAGGAGAGGCAGCAGAGGAAGAAAGCCTGTCTCCCTCTCTCTCCTCCTTCCCATCCCCCTTCGCCTGCTTCTCGTCCTCTCCCCTCTCTTCTCACTCTCTCCCCTGCCCTCCTCTGCCCTCCCCTTCCTTCCCTTCTCCTACTGACTGTATTGAGATGTGGCCTGCTGCTGAAGGGACCTTCGCTCCCTCTTCCCTCCCTTCTTCCCTTCCATCCTCTCTTCCATCCTCCCTTTCCTCCTTCCCGTCCACCCTACCAGCCTCCTTGCCCTCCTCGCTCCCCTCCTCTCTTCCCCCATCTTTCTCCTCCTCGCTTCCACCGTCTCTTCCCTCGTCTTTCCCCTCCTCCTCCCCTACCGCCTCCCCTCCTTTCTCCCCGCCTTCCCTGTCTCACACCCCTGTGGATGTCTTCTCGTTTTACAAGGCATGGGCACAGCGTAACAATGCTGGCACTTACCTAAGTGCGAGTGCGACGGCAGGGGAAATGCAGGAAGCAGAAAAGGGAGCTGGGATGGAAGGAGGGGAGGGGACAGCTGTAGGCAGTCAGATGAGAGAAAGGGAGAAGCAGGAAGAGGAGGAGAAGCAGGAGAAGGAGGAGGAGGAGGGGCATGTGGAAAAGGAGGAGAAAGCGGAGGAGATGGAGGGGGTGAAGGATGGGCACTCGGAGCAACAGGAGGAGGTAAAGAAACAGGAGCAAGAGAAGTGGCAGGAGAGACAAGAGGAGGATGAGGTGGAGAAACAGGAGCAAGAGGAGGGAGAGAAACGACAGGAGCGACAGGAGGAGGATATACAGGACCAAAAGCAGGAGGAGCACGAGGAACGAAAGGAGGAGGAGCAAGAGGAACGAAAGGAGGAGGAGCAAGAGGAACGGAAGAAGCAGGAGCAGCATGAGCAGCAGCATGAGCAGCAACAGGGGCAGGAAGGAGAAATGCTGCAGAAGGAACCAGAGCGGCGGCAGAGTGGAGAGGAGCGGGAGAAGCAGGAGCAGGAGGAGCAGGAAGGACAAATGCTGCAGAAGGAACTAGAGCGGCGGCAGAGTGGAGAGGGGCGGCAGCAGGAGGAAGAGGTCGAGAAGCTGCAACAGGGAGAGGGACAGCAGCATAGGCAGGAGCAGCAGGAGCAGCAAGAGGAGCAGGAACAGCAGGAGGAGCAGCAGCAGCAGCAGCAGGTTGAGGGTGAGCAAATTCAGGCAGACCACCAAGAGGAGGTGGGGGAAGAGGAGGCTGAGGAAGGGGAGGAAATGGAGGAGGAAGAGGAAGAGGAAGAGGAGGAGGAGGAGGAGGCAGAAGTTCTAGATGTGGACTGGGTTGGGTACGAGGAGGTGTGGGAGGGGAGGGGCGGGCGGATAAGTGTCAAGCAAGGGCGGGAGAGAGAGGAGGAGAGTGAGGGTGGGGATCTAGACGAGGAAGGGGATGGGGGGGAGGGGGGAGGGGAGGAGGAGGAGGAAGAGGAGGACGTGGCAAGTGATGTGACTGAAGCAGCTGCTTCGGATGAGGTGGAATGGGAATCATGCCATGCAGTGATGGATGCTTCTGTAATTGACTGTGAGCCGCCACCGCCGCCACAAGATGCTGCTGTTGCTGCCTCTGCCGCTGCCTCTGCCGCTGCCTCTGCCGCTGCCTCTGTCGCTGCCTCTGCTGTTGCTGTTGCTGTTGGTGGTGGCAATCCTGTGCATCTGCTCCTCCCGTCTGCTGCTGGTCCTGCTGCTGCCGCTGGGGCTGTTGGTGTAACTGCAAGTGCCACTTCTGGTGTAACTGCTGGTGTTTCTGGTGCAATTACTGTGGCAGCTGCTGGCACGGTTGCTGCAGGTTTTATTGGTGGGACTACTAGTGAAGGGCTTATAGACGACTCAGGGTTTATGGAGGGTGTAGGGTTTATGGAGGAAGTAGGGGGTGCGTTTGAAGCTCCCAAGACCCCTCAAGCGGATGATGAGAGTGGTGAGGTGCGTGAGTGGAAGAGAGGGAAATTTGGGGCGGAGGAAGAAGAGGAGGACGAGGAGGAGGGGAGGGAGGAAGTGGAGAAGGAGCAAGAGGCTGAAGAGGAGGAGGTGGAGAAAGAAAGGCAGGAGGAAATGAGCTGGCATAGTGAAGGTAACGGTGTTGGGGAGGAGGAATTACAGGTGGAAGCAGTGATGGAAGGGGCTGCTGAGGTGGCAGCAGCTGACGTGGCAGCTGATGTTGTCGTTGATGTGGCACCTGATGCGGCAGCTAATGTAGTAGCTGACGTGGCGGCATACGTAGCAACAGATGCAGCGGTCGAGACTGAGGCAGAAACGGAAGCGGAAACAGTAGCAGAAGCTGAAGCTGGAGTTGCTGCAGGGGAAGAAGTAGGTGCCGAGTTAGAAGGAGAAGTAGTTGCAGAAGCAGCAGAATTAGTAGCTAGAGCAGATCTTGAGTCGGAAGTAGCAGCAAGAGAAGAAGAGCTAGAAGCAGAAGCAGATTTGGCAACAGCGGTAGCAGCAGAATCAGAAGTAGAAGCGGGAACAGATTTGGCAACAACAGTGGTAGCAGCAGGAGCGGAAGTAGAAGCGGGAACAGATTTGGCAACAACAGTGGTAGCAGCAGGAGAGGAAGTAGAAGCAGGAACAGATTTAGAAGCAAAGTTAGCAGCAGAAGCAGGAGAGATGCAAGCAGGAGCTGAGTCCAAAACAGTGAGAGTAGCAGAAGCAAGAGAAGTAGAAGCAGGAGCAGAGTTGGAAACAGAGTTAGCAGCAGTAGCAGCAGAGGTTGAAGCAGAGGTTGAAGCAGAGATGGAGGCGGAGGCAGCTGCAGAAGCAGGAGAATTTGAAGCAGGAGCAGCACTTGAGGCAGGGGGGGCAGGAGGAGCTGAGGGTGAAGCAGAAATCGAAATGGAAATATTAGAGGGGGAAACGGCTTTTGAGGCGCCTAAAAAAACGCAGGTGGCTTCAGAAGCAGCAGATTTTGAAGCAGGAGCAGGTTTTGAGGCAGAGGTAGCAGCAGGAGCTGAGGCTGAAGCAGAAATGGAAATGGAGAGAGGAGAGGGGGGAGCAGAAGCAGAAGTAGAGGAGGCTGAATTAGCAGCAGACGTAGCAGCAGACGAGGAGGCTATGCTCCCGAGAGAGGCTGGATTGGAGGCAGAGGCAGAAGGCATTCCAGCAGATGCGGAGGCAGAAACAGAGACAGAAACACGAGCAGATGAAAAGGCTATGCTGCAGGAAGCGGCTGAGGCGGAGGTAGGAGCAGACGAATCTGAGTTAGCAGCAGCTGCAGCAGCAGATGTAGAGGTAGAGGTAAGAGCCGATGAGGAAGTTACGCTTCAGGGAAAGGCTGGGGTGGAGTTGGAGGTAGAGGCAGGAGCAACAGAGGCAGTAGAAACCCCAACAGCAGCAGATGCAGCAGCAGGCGTAGCAGCTGGTGCGGAAGCAGAAACAGAGGTGGAAGTACTAACAGACGAAGAATTTATGTTGCAGGAAGCGGCTGGGATGGAGGAAGAAGCAGCAGAGGCAGGGACAGAGGCAGAGGCGGAGGCAGAGGGAGAGGCAGAGGCAGAGGCAGAGACAGGGGCAGGAGGAGAAGGAGTGGGAAGGGGAGAGGCTGATGGAGAGGCAGAGGCAGAGGAAGAGGGAGCGGCAGAGGTAGAGGGAGAGGCAGAGGTAGAGGCAGAGGTAGAGGCAGATACACAGACGGCTGTGTACTTGGAAACAAGTGATGGAACACGAGAAGCTGTTGGTATGAAGGCAGAGGGAGCAGAGGAAATGGAGGTAAGAGGGGAGGAGGTAGAGGAAGGAGGAGAGGAAGCGGAGGGAGGAGGAGAGGAGGTGGAGATAGGAGGAGAGGAAGCGGAGGGAGGAGGAGAGGAGGTGGAGGTAGGAGGAGAGGAGGTGGAGGTAGGAGGAGAGGAAGCGGAGGGAGGAGGAGAGGAAGCGGAGGCAGGAGGAGAGGAAGCGGAGGCAGGAGGAGAGGAGGTGGAGGTAGGAGGAGAGGAGGTAGAGGGAGGAGCAGAGGAGGCAGAGGCAGAGATAGAGGCTGAGGGAGAGACGGTTGTGTACTTGGAAACAGGTGATGGAAGTGGAGAAGCTGCTGGGATGGAGGCAGAGGGAGAGACAGAAGCAGAGGCAGAGGGAGAGACAGAAGCAGAGGCAGAGGGAGGAGCAGAGGCAGACGTAGAGACAGAGGCGGAGGCACAGGGAGCGACAGAGACGGTTGTGTACTTGGAAACAGGTGACGGAATAGGAGAAGCTGCTGGGATGGAGGCAGAGGGAGCAGAGGAGGTGGAGATAGGAGGAGAGGAAGCCGAGGGAGGAGGAGAGGAGGTAGGAGGAGAGGAGGTAGGAGGAGAGGAGGTAGGAGGAGAGAAGGTTGCTGCTCTTCATCCACCCAAAAGCAGCTCCATTCTGACCACCCCCACTCTTGCTGCCCTCCCCACTGCTCCTGAGTCGACTCAAAAGGTAGGAGGAGAGGAGGTAGGAGGAGAGGAGGTAGAAGGAGAGGAGGCGGAGGTAGGAGGAGAGGAAGCGGAGGTAGGAGGAGAGGAGGTAGAAGGAGAGGAGGCGGAGGTAGGAGGAGAGGAAGCGGAGGTAGGAGGAGAGGAGGTGGAGGTAGGAGGAGAGGAGGTTGGTGCTCTGCATCCACCCAGAAGCAGTTCCATTCTCACCACCCCCCCTCTTGCTGCCCTCCCCACTGCTCCTCCCTTGGCCCTTGTTATGTCACTGCCGCCTTCAACACCTGTGGCACCTGGGGTATCAGCGGTGGCTGTAGCTGCAGCAGCACCACCATCTGTAGCACCATCTGTAGCACCACCATCTATAGCAAAACCATCTGTGGCACCATCTGTAGCACAACAACCAGTGTCTCTGGCGTGTGTAGCAGCGGCCACAGGGCTGGACACAGCCCATGCGCTGGTGGTGTCACCTGTAGCACCTGCAGCAGCTGTAGCACCTGTGGTGCCACCAGTGGCTGTAGGTGCAGCAGCAGCAGCACCATCTGTAGCACCACCATCTGTAGCACCACCATCTGTAGCAGCACAACCAGTGTCTCTAGCGTGTGTAGCAGCGGCCACTGGGCTGGACACGGCCCATGCGCTGGTGGTGTCTCTTGCAACGTCTCAAAAGCCACCATCTGCACCACCATCTGCACCACCATCTGTAGCACCACCATTTGTAGCACAGCAACCAGTGTCTCTAGCGTGTGTAGCAGCGGCCACTGGGCTGGACACAGCCCATGCGCTGGTGGTGTCTCTTGCCCTGCAACGAGCTAAGGCCCGCGCTGCTGCTGCCGCTCCTGCTGTGGCTGCTGCAGCTACTGCTATTGCTGCTGCTGCTGCTTCGGCTGCTGCTGCTGCTTCGGTCGCTGCTGCTTCGGTCGCTCCTGCTTCTGTCGCTCCTGCTGCTGCTCTTGCTGCTGCTCTAGCTGCCGCTCCTGCTGCTCCTGCTCCTGCTTCTGCTGGTGGTAGCGCTGCTGCCCTTGCCACATCTACTGCGACTGCGCCTTCCACCCCTGCTGCTGCTTCCCTTGGATGGCCCGCAACAGCACAGGCCACGTCATCACCACCAATGGCATCACTGAGATTGCAACCACCACTAGCAGCACCACCGCTAGCACCACTAGCAGCAGCACCACTGGCACCACCATCGCTAGCACCACCGCCACTAGCACCACGACCACCACCACCATCCCGAATCCGATCACCATGGGGGGATGAGGAGCTGCCTCCAGGTGTGGACCGACCCTCGTCTTTTGAGGCGCCTCGAAAGTTGTTGCAGCCTTTGGGTGTGGCCAAACCCATGCGCCCATTGCATGTGAATGTGGGAGCCCCATCATCCATGCGTCTGGCTGCAGCAGCAACAGCAAAACAGCCCCTGCCTGCAGCAGCAGCAGCAGCAAAACCGCTCATGGGTGGGGTTACTACCTCCTCCTCCTCCTGCTCTTCGATTTCCTCCGCCTCCTCTTCCTCCTCTTCCTCCTCCGCCCCGTCCTCCTCGTTCTCCTCCTCCTGTTCTTCCTCCTCTTCTTCCTCCTCATCCTCATCAGCAGCAGCAGCAGCGGTATGTGTAGCTGCATGGCATGCATGGGCCGGCGGTGCCGGCATGGGGCGAGCCACGCCTGCTCTTGCTCCTCTGCCTGCTCCTGCCCTTGCCCCGCTGCCTCCTCTTGCCCCTCTGCCTGCTCTCGCTCCGCTACCTTCGGTTCCTTTTACGTCAGCTGCTGCCTCTCCTCCACTCACTGCTGCGCCTGCTGCAGTTGCTTCTCCTGCTCCTGCTGCTTCTTCTGCTCCTGCTGTTTCTTCTGCTCCTGCTGCTTCTTCTGCTCCTGTTTCTGCTGCTTCTTCTCTTGGTGGTTTTGGCAAAAGGAGTGCGGCAGCAGCAGCAGCTGCAGCAGCAGCACCAGCTACTGCTACTGCTGGTACTTCTGGCTTGTTATTGCCTCCGTTTATCTCAGATTCACATGCAGAAGGCAAAGATTCTTTGGCGAGGATTGTTGAGGCATATGCTGCTGCTAGCGCTGCCAATAGAAAGCCTGCTGCAGCGGCAGCTTTCGAGGTGTCTCATAAGTCAGCAGGTGCTGTTGGTGCTGTCGATAGTAAGCCTGCTGCATTGGCACCGGCGGGGGGAGAAGCAGTAGGGCTAGTTTCAGCAAGTGGGGTGGGGAGAGGGATTGGCAGAGAGAAGACAGCAGTGTGTGGAGCCAGCACCTTGGGTAGTGGAGGAGAGATTGGGAGGATTTCCGAGGCTCCTCACGAAGCAGGTGCTGCTGCTACAGCGGTTGAGATAGACGGAGGGATTGGCAGAGAGGAGGTGATGGGTGGGGCTTGCAAGCAGGGGAGGGGAGGAGCTGGGATTGGCGTTGAGGAAATGGAGGATGGTACCAGCATGCAGGCTGACTTGGGGGAGGTTCGTGTGGGGGAGGTTTATGTGGGGAAGGTTCATGTAGGGGAGGTTGTTGGATTACCTGAGGAGAAACATGAGGAGGTGGGCTTTTACCTACCCTACTCTGACAGCTCACCAGAGCGGCCTGACAGCTCAGCTAATCACTCGGACAGCTCACTCGAAGGTCCTGACAGCTCATCGGAAGATTTCGACAGCTCGCCTGACAAGGCCCTCAGCGAGACACCTGAACTTTCACCTGAGGAAGCACCTGAGCTACATGCTGCCATTACATTTGAGGCTCGTCAGGAAGCACCTGAGGGTTGCAAAACTTCACTTGAGATTCAAATTGCTGATCTATTTGGGCCATCACCTGAAGGTTCACCTGAGCCAGGTTACTGGGCACCTGAAACAGCTGATTGGACGTTTGAGGACGGGGGTGGTGCACCTGATGCCGATGCTGATGTTGATGCTGCTGTTGATGCTGATGCCAAGGCTGATTCCGACACCAAGGCTGTGCCTTCACCTGAGCTTTCACCTGAAGATGCTCCTGAGCTAGGTTACTGGGCACCTGAAACAGCTGATTTGACACCTGAGGATGGGGTTGTTGCTGCTGATGCTGATGCCGATGCATCTGATGCTGATGCCGATGCTGCTGATGCCAATGCTGCTGATGCCGATGCTGCTACCGCTTCTACTTTGGCTGATGCTGCAACAGCTGCGCTTGCTGATGCTTATGCTGATGCTGATGCTGCTACTGATGCTGCTACTGATGCTGTTACTGATGATGCTACTGGTGCTGATGCTGATGCTGATGCTGATGCTGATGCTGGTGCTGATACTGCTACTGGTACTGCCGTTGATGCAGCTATTGCACCGGACACTGCTACTGCTGTTTCTGCTACTCCAGCGGATGCTGCTGCTGCTGCTGCTGCTGCTACCACTGTTGATGCTGCCACTGTTACTGAAAACACTACTGCTGCTGCTACCTCTGTCAATGCTGCCACAGCTACTGATAGCACTTCTGCGGCTACTGATGCAATCACTTCTGCTGATTTGGATCCTGCATTTCACGATGCTCCTGCTACCACCGTTAGTGCTGCAACTGCAACTGAAGATACTTCTGCTGCTACTGACGCAACTACTCCTCCTGCTGATAATGCTCCTGCTACGCGCAATGCCACTGCCACCACCGCCAATGCTACCGCCAATGCTACCGCTGCTGCTGAAAATACTTCTTCTGCTGCAACCGACACAGCTACCCCTGCTGAATCCGATGCTCCTGCCGCTAGTGCTCCCGTTACCACCGCCGATACCATTGCTGATAATGCTTCTCCTGCTGCTGCCGACGCGACTATTCCTGCTGACATCGATGCTCCTGCTGATAGAGCTCCTGCTACCACCACACCAGCTGCATCCTCCCACATACCACCTGTTGTCATCATGGCCAAACATACTTCTCCTGCTGCTACCGACGCAGCTATTCCTGCTGACATCAATGCTCCTGCTGATAGAGCTCCTGCTACCACCACACCAGCTGCATCCTCCCACATACCTCCTATTGGCATCATGGCTTCTTCTTCCCATCCCCCATCTTCCCACCCCCTATCGTCCCACCCCCCATCGTCTGTTCCCCCATCTTCCTTTCCCCCTATTGGTGCAGTATCCCGCCTTCCCCCCATAGGTGCAGCTGCTTCTCTCCCCCCCATTGGCGCAGCAGCATCTCTTCCCCCCATCCTTCCCCACATGCCCCACTCTTTCCCCTTCAACCCCTTTCTCCCCTTCCCCCTTGGCCCCTTCCCTCCCCTTGGTTACAACTCGGGTTACCACCAGCTCACTCCCGCTCAAATGCTCTTCCTTAACAGAACTGCTGGATTTGGAAATGTTTCTACTTTTGGAAATGTTTCCAATTGGGGAAATGCTGGGCCTGGTGCAGCTGGTGAGGGGAATCGGTTTCCTGGTGCTGCTGGTGAGGGGAATCGTTTTCCTGGTGCTGCTGGTGAGGGGAATCGTTTTCCTGGTGCTGCTGGTGAGGGGAATCGTTTTCCTGGTGCTGTTGGTGAGGGGAATCGTTTTCCTGGTGCTGTTGGTGCCACTGCCAGCAGTGGTGGTGCTGCTGCTGCTGTTGCAGGAGGATCCACTGTTGGCTCTGCTGCTGCCGCTGCTTCTGCTGCTGCTGCTTCTGCTGCTGCTGCTGGTACCACCGCCACTGCTGCTGTTACCGCATCCGCTGCTCCTGCTGCTGCTGCTGACAGTCCAGCCATCGCAACTACTCCAGCTGCTGCTGCAGATTCAGAAGCCGCTGGGGCCAGAGCAAGAGTAGCTGCTGCCACAGGTGGTTCTCATAGGCCTGCTGGAAGATGCAGTGCTGCATGTGACAGCAGGGCTTTTGAAACGTCTAGAGGATTCGGTCGGGGTCGAATTGTTGCTTCTGGGAAGCCAGGTAACGCGTGGCAGGGCACGGCTGAGAATGAGTGGCAGGGGGCAGGTGGCAGTGAGTGGCAGGGCGGGGCGAGCAAGGAGTGGTTAGACGCTCCTCTGGTCTTTGGTCTGAACGTCATTCCACCAGGGGCAGTTGGAAAGGGGGCAGGTGAAGTGGGCACTGGAGAGAAAAGGGCAGGTGAGAAGGGGCCAGGAGAAAAAAGAGCAGGAGATAATGGGGCAGGTGAAAAAGTTGCAAAAAAAATAGAGGCAGGTGACAAGGGGGCTGGTAAAACGGGGGCAGGTATAGCGAAGGCAGGTGAAACGGGAGAATTTGAACCTAAACTGCAAATGTCACATATTCTAAAACCCTTAAACCCAGATGCACCCTTAAACCCAGATGCAGTTGATTCAGAAGCGAGCGTGGATGTGAGGGAGATGACGCGAGTCAAGAAGGCAGATGAGGTGGAAGCAGGTGTGAGTGTGCTGAAAACGCTGCTTGGTTATGGGACGGATGAGGAGGAAGAAGAGGAGGAGGGAGGTAAGGGAGGGGAAGGAGATGAGGCAGTAGGAAAGGAAGATGGTGCTACTGTGGCTGCAGCTGCTGCTGTATTTGAGGCGCCGAAACAATCAGTAGTGACAGCAACATCTGTCATGGTCACTACAACTGCTACTGCTTTTGAGGCGCCTCAAAAACAGGGGCTTAAGACATCGGTAGTGGCAGCAGCACCTTCCGTTGTCACTGCTACTGCTGCTGCTTCTTCTGTTGCTGGTTTAGATAGCAGAGCCCGGAATGAGGGGAAGGAGAGGGAGAAGGAGAGCGAGGGGAGGGAGAGGGAGAAAGGGAGTGAGGGGAGGAAGAGGGAAGAAGGGAGTGAAGTGAGGGAGAGGGAGAAGGGGAGTGAGGGGAAGGAGAGGGAGAAGAGGAGGGAGAGGGAGTTGGGGTGTGAGGGGAGGGAGAGGGAGAAGGAGAGAGAGAGGGAGAGGGCGAGAGAGAGGGAGAGGGAGAGAGAGAGGGAGAGGGGGAGGGAGAGGGAGAGGGAGAGGGAGAGGGAGAGGGCGAGAGAGAGGGAGAGGGAGAGGGAGAGGGAGAAGGAAAAGGGGAGCGATGGGCGTGAGAGGGAGATGATGAGTGTTGGGAGGGAGAGGGAGAAGGAGAGGGAGGGGAGCGAGAAGGAGAAGGGTAAGGAATGGAGGGAGAGGGAGAAAGGGAGTGATGGGAGGGAGGGGAGGGAGAGGGAGAATGGGAGAGATGGATGGGAGAAGGAGAAAGTGAGTATTGGGAGGGAGAGGGAGAAGGGGAGAGAGGTGGATGGCAGAGAAGCAAGGGGTAGAGGGAATGTAGGAGGCGAGAGAGACGTTAGAGGGTCAGCAGAGAGGGGGAGGGAGATTGATTTGACAAGAACGAGGGGCAGCGGTAGTGTTGGAGGAGGCAGAGATATTGGAAGGGAGACACGCGAACGAGATATGGGGAAGGCAGCAGAGAGGATGAGGGATGTGGATGTGACAAGACCGAGGGGCAGAGATGCAAGGGGTAGCAGTAATGTGGGGGCAGGCAGAGATATGGGTAGGGACGCGCGTGAACGAGACATGGGGAAAACGGTAGAGACTGGAAGGGATGTTGCTGTGGATGTGACAAGACCGAGAGGCAGCAATACAAGGGGCAGCAGTAGTGTGGGGGCAGACAGAGATATGGGTAGGGACGCTCGTGAACGAGACATGGGAAACACAGCAGAGAGGCGAAGGGATGTGGATGTGACACGAATGAGGGGCAGCAGCATTACGAGGGAAAGAGGAGGAGGTGGGGAAGGAGGAGTGAGGGAAAGAGGAGGTGGGGAAGGAGGAGTAAGGGAAAGAGGAGGTGGGGAAGGAGTAAGGGAAAGAGGAGCAAAGGAGGTAGGAGGAAGGGTAGGTGGAGGAGGAGAAAGAGGAGGCGGGGAAAGAGGAGGTGAGGAAAGAAGAGGAGGGGAAAGCGGAGGAGAAAGAGGAGGAAGCGAAAGAGGAGCGGAAAGAGAAGGGGAAAGAGGAGGTGGGGAAAGAGGAGGGGTAAGAGGAGGAGGAGAAACAGGAGGGGAAAGAGGAGGTGGGGAAATAGGAGGAGGGGAAAGAGGAAGGGAAAGAGGAGGGGAAAGTGGAGGAGGGGAACGAGGAGGGGGGGAAAGAGGAGGGGAAAGAGGAGGAGGGCAAAGAGGAGGGGAAAGAGGAGGCGGGGAAAGAGAAGGAGGGGTAAGAGGAGGAGGCGAAAGAGGTGGGGAAAGAGAAGGAGGGCAAAGAGAAGGGGAAAGAGGAGGTGGGGAAAGAGGAGGGGTAAGAGGAGGAGAAACAGGAGGTGAAAGAGGAGGAGGGGAAAGAGGAGGAGGGGAAAGAGGAAGGGACAGAGGAAGGGAAAGAGGAGGAGGGGAAAGAGGAAAAGGGGAAACCCTCAGCAGCCACAAAGCAGATGGGGGAGATAGAGAAGCAAGGGAAGGTAAAGAAGGAACAGAAAGAGGGGAAAACACTGCAGGGGAACGGGGAGGAAAAGGCGATGTGAAAAGAAGAGGAGGAGAAAGAGGTGTTGAGAAGGCGGAGGAAGAGAATGGGGCCGGTGGGGCGAGTGGTGTGAGGAAAGGGGTTGGAGCAGCAGGAGAGGGGGACGAGGAGAGAGTGAAAAGTCAGAAGGGCGTTGCATTGGGGGAAGAGGCTGGGAGGAAGCAGGAAGGTGGGGCTGCTGGGGCGAGTGGGGCTGCTGGGGCGAGTGGGGTCGGTGGGGCCGGTGGGGCCAGTGGTGTGAGGAAAGGGGGTGGAGCAGCAGGAGAGTGGAAGGAGGAGAGAGTGAAAAGTCAGAAGGGCGTTGCATTGGGGGAAGAGGCTGGGAGGAAGGAGGAAGGTAGGGTCGGTGGGGCGAGTGGAGTGAGGAAAGGGAATGGAGCAGCAGGAGAGGGGGACGAGAATGTGAAAAGTCAGAAGGTCGCTGAATCGGTAGAAGTGACAGGGAAAAAGGAGGAGGAGGGTGTGGCAGGTCGGGCCGGTGGGACACGTTGGGTTGATGGGGCTGGTGGGGTGCGAAACGGGAGTGGCGCAGTAGAGGGGGAAGAAGAGAGAGGAGAAGGGCGAAAAGGGTCTGAGGTGGAACACAAGTCAGGGAGGGAAGGGGAGAGGGGGGGGGATGGTGCGCAGAGAGAGGGTGGGGCAAGAGGAGGAGGAGGAGGAGGAGTGGGGGGAGGGGGAGGTGGTGGTGAGGGAAGAGTGGGAGGAGAACGTGAGAGTAAGGGCGGTAAGGACGGAAAGAGTGGCAGTAAAGCGAATGGCAAAAGCAGTGGTAACAATCGGGATGCTGGCAGGGGGAGCGGTGGTGGTGCTGGTGGTGGTGGTAGTGGCAGGGGAGAGAAGGCGGGACAGAGAGTAGGATCGACCAGAAATGGAGGGATAGTTGGTGGTGGAGGGGGTGGTGGGGGGGGTGGTGGTGATGATGATGGGGATGGTGATGATAATGCTAGGGATTGGGACCGGAAACGAGCTCTGGGGAGTGATAAGGGCAAGGGAGGGAGGAGGAAAGGGGAAGAGGAGGAGGAGGGTGAGGAAGGAAGGGAGAAGAAGCGAAGGAAGGAGGTGGAGAAGCGTGGGGAGGGGAGAGACGCGAAGAGAGGTGAGGAACAGGGGAGAGACGCGAAGGGAGGTGAGGAACAGGGGAGAGACGCGAAGAGAGGTGAGGAACAGGGGAGAGACGCGAAGAGAGGTGAGGAACAGGGGAGAGACGCGAAGAGAGGTGAGGAACAGGGGAGAGACGCGAAGAGAGGTGAGGAACAGGGGAGACGAAATGTAGAGATAGAGAAGGGTGGGAAGGTGGAGGGTAAGGGAGGTGGTGTGTGTGTGGGTCATCAAGGGGAGGAGAGGAGGGAGGAGAAGATGGAGGAGAGGAGAGAGGAGAGGAGGGAGGAGAAGAGGGATGAGAAGAGGGATAAGAAGAAAGAGGAAAGCGGACGGAGTGATAAGAGAAAGGAGGAGGATAGAAGACGGGAGGAGGTTAGGCAACGGGAGGAGGATAGGAGAAGGGAGGAGGATAGGAAAAGGGTTGAAAAGGGAGGACGAAAGGAGGAGGATAAAGGAAAAAGGGAGGAAGATAAGGGGAGGGGGGATGCAAAAGGAAGGAATGGGGAAGGGAGAAAAGAGGATCTCAGGAGAAAGGAGGATGATAAGAAACGGGAGGAGGATAAGCGAAATACGGACGAACGGGGAATGGAGGAGGGAAAGAGAAAGGAAGAGGAGAGAAGAAGGGAGGACGAGGAGAGGAAGCAGGAGGGAAAGAGAAAGGAGGAGGGAAGGAGAAGGGAGGAGGGAAGGAGAAAGGATGAGGAAAGGAGATCGGAGGAGGAAAGGAAAAGGGAGGTGGTTGGTAAGGATAGTGGAAGTGAGAGGGCGGGTGTTTTGCACAGAAGGGAAGAGGACAGAAGGGGTGTTTTGCAGATGAGGGAAGAGGGCAGAAGGGGTGTTTTGCAGATGAGGGAAGAGGGTAGACGGGGTCTTTTGCAGAGGGAGGGTAAGGTGGGCGAGTTGGAAGAGGTGAGGAGGGATGAGAGGAAAGAGGAGAGGAGGGAGGAAAAGAAGGATGGGAGGAAAGAGGAAAGGAAGGATGAGAGGAAAGACGAGAGGAGGGATGAGAGGAAAGAGGAGAAGAGGGATAATCAGAGTGTTAAGGAGGCAGGAGAAAGGGATAAAGAGAAGGGGGAGAGTATAAGTGGGGCGAGAAAAGAAGGGGAGAAGGAGCAAAAGGAGAAGAGAGGACGATTGGATGGGAAGGAGCATGAGCAGAAGAGGGAAGGAAGAGGCATGGATCACGATACAGAGGAGGAGAGGAAGAGGAGGAAGGTGGAGGAGGAAGGGCACTGTCACGTGCCAGTGGGGGCAGAGATGGAGAGAAGGGAGAGGAAAAGGGGAGAGAAGGAGATTAAGGAGAAGGAGAAGAGGGAGAAGGAGAGGAGGGACAAGGAGAGGGAAGAGAAGGAGAGGAGGGAGAACGAGAGGGGAGAGAAGGAGAGGAGGGAGAGGGAAAGGGGAGAGAAGGAGAGGAGGGAGGGGGAAAGGGAAGAGAAGGAGAGGAGGGAGAACGAGAGGGGAGATAAGGAGAGGAAGGAGGGGGAGAGGGGGGTAAAAGAGAGGAGTGAGCAGGAGACGAGAGGGAAGGAGAGACGAGAGGAAGGGAGAGAGAATGAGAGAAGAGAAAAGGAGAGGAGAGAAAAGGAGGGGAGAGAAAAGGAAGGGAAAGGAGAAAAGGAGGAGAGGAGAGAAGCAGTGGAGAGGGGAAAAGGTGAGGAAAGTAAGGACAAAGAGACCAGGAGAGAAGGGGATACTAGGGGAACGGATAAGCATGACAATAAGAAGATGCGTGACGAGAGTAAGACGCATGGTGATGGGAAGAAGGAAGAGGGTAGGGAGGATGGGAGGGGTGAAAAGCTTGGGCGAGTGTCTGAGACACGTCAGAAAATGGAGAAGGGTGTGGGGAAGGAGGAGGGAAGGGATGTGGGGAAAGGGGATGGAGGGCATGGGAAGCGGCAAAGGGAGCGTGAGTGCAGTGAGGAGGAAACTTCAAGTGATAGTGATTTCAGTGAGAGTGATTCTAGTGAGAGTGATTCGACTGAGGATAGTTCTCAGGAGGGAGGGTTGAAGAAGAGGAGGAGGAGGGGCGGAAAGAAGGAGGACAGGAGAGGAAAGCGGGTGAAGGGGAAGGGAAAAGGGAAAGTGAAGGGGAAGAGGGAAAAGGAAAACGAAAAGGGAAAGGAGAAAGGGAAGAAGAAATCTGGGAGGGAGAAGGAGGGGGGTGAGGAGGGAAAGGCAGGGAAGGCAATCAAGAACGAGGTGGGAGATTTGGAGGAGGAGGAGGAGAAGGAGGAAGCGGAGGGCATGAGTATGGAGTTGCTGGTCTTAACAGAGAAGAGGAAGAAGTGGCGGCAGGACTGGCGAGAGATGAAGGTAGTCGCAAGGGAGAACGAGAGGGAGCGAGAGAAGGACAGACAGAATGAGAGAGAGAACGAAAGGGAGAGAAAGGAAGCTGGTGCTGCTGCAGCAGCAGCAGCAGCGGCGGCGGCGGCTGGTGCTCCTGCTTTCCCCGTCACGCTCCCTGCAGGCCATTCCTTTCCCCCCACATCCGCCCTCCACTCACTTGTTAACCCCCACTCAACAACCCATCTCCCAGGCCCGCCTTTTCCCAGTGGAGGGGGTTTTCCAAGTAGTGGGGGTGCGTTCCCTGGTGGCAGCGGCAGTTTGTTGCACACCCCAGGCGTTCCAACCCCCCTTGCTGCACCGCACCATACCCATGCCAACCCCCTTGCACTGCATCAAACACACACCAACCCGCTAGTAGCACACCATGCACTGCTGCAAGCCCTGCGTGCTGCTCCCCGTCCCCCCCACTCAGGCGGGACAAGTGGATTCAATATAGGCACAGGTGGTATGGGCATAAGTGGTATGAGTGGCATGAGTGGCATGGGTGGAATGAGTGGCATGGGTATGAATGTGGGTGGGTTGGGTACTGGTGCCCCTATGGCCCAATTTGCTGCTGCGGCTGCTGCTGCTCGGGCTATTGTGAATGCCAAGGCGATAGCGGCCAGAGCCGGTGCTACTGCCGGTGCTGCTGCTGCCGGTGCTGCTGCTGGTGGTGCTGCGGCTGGTGGTGCTGGCAGCGATGCTTTAGTAGCCGCTGCCGCTGCTGCCGCTGCTGCTTTAGCGTCTAGTGCTGGCGTTGGTGGTGGTGTTGGGGGTGGTGCTGCTGGTGCGCCTATCACCGCCCCTCCTGGTGCTCCTGCTACTGCTGCTGCTGCTGCTGCTTCGGCACAAGCTGCTATGGCTGCTGCTTCGGCTGTTGCCCTTGCTGTGGAGCGTAGGCTCGGCCTACCCTCTTCTTCTGCTGACGCAGCTGCTTCCCGAGCCTCCGCCGGTGGTTCGGCCGAACCTGGAACTGGCTCCGGCGGCCTGGGTGCAGGTGGTGAGGTGGAGCGGCAGGAGGGGGAGGGATTGGGGGAGGGTGACGGGGAAGAGGAGGGGGAGGGGAGGGAGGGTAGGAGGAAGGTGCATTTTTCAGATGACATGGAGGGAGGGGAGGGAGGAGAAGGAGGGGAGGGAGGGGAGGGGGGGGAGGGGGGGGAGGAATGGGAGGAGATGGAAGGGGATGAGGAGGAAGAGGGAGAGGAGGGGGGAGAGAGGAGGGTGAGGAGGAAGAAGGGAGTGGTGATTGACGATCGATACCTGGTTGATGTGAAAGACGTCAAGAACAGGTGAGCGGCCGTTCTAGTTTGAAAGAAAGTCTTTTTTTACGTAGAGGCAAGAGGAGGAAGAGGAAGGGAGTGGTGATTGACGATTGATACCTGGTGGATGTCAAAGACGTTAAGAACAGGTGAGCTGATTTGTGAGGGGACTAGATAGGTGAGCGGCTGTCTTAGTGTAGAGAAATTTCTTTAAGCAAAGGGCAAGAGGAACAGGGAGTGGTGATTGTCGATCGGTACTTGGTTGATGTGAAAGACGTGAAGAACAGGTGAGCTGATTCTTAATGCAGGCAACAGGTGAGCTGCCGACTTTCTGTGTTTTGAGGTATCTTTCACCCCTCCGTCTTGCAGTGTGAAAGAAGCAATCAAGGCGATGCGCAGCAGGAGCAGCATCAACCGGCGAGTTGCTTCCCTCACCACTCTGGGCGTGTCAGGGCCAGCAGCCAGGGCAGCGGAGCAGTCACAGCTCTCTTACTCCTTCCTCTTCTAATACTCTACTTCCCTCTTCCCCTCCTCTCATCTCCCCACATACAGTGTAAAAGAGGCAATCAAGGCCATGCGCAGCAAGAGCAGCATCAACCGGCGGGTAGCTTCCCTCACCACTCTTGATATATTTCCCTTCCCCCCCCGTCGCTTTCCCCAACTTGCAGTGTAAAGGAAGCAATCAAGGCCATGCGCAGCAAGAGCAGCATCAACCGCCGTGTAGCTTCTTTCACCACGTTGGGGGTGTCAGGGCCAGCAGCCAGGGCAGCGGAGCAGTCAGCACTGGCAGCCAAGAGGGAGAAAGAGAGAGCGCAGCTGGAGCTGAGGAGGAAGTACTATGGGCTGCCGTGATCTGGAATGTAGGGCCTTGTGGGTTGGAGCAGCATTAGCCGCTGTGTCGCGTCCCTCATGAGTCACCACACTGGGCGTGTCAGGAACTGGCTCCGGCGGCCTGGGTGCAGGTGGTGAGGTGGAGCGGCAGGAGGGGGAGGGAGTGGGGGGGGCTGCCTTGATGCATGGGGTGTATGGTTGTGCGTCTGACTGTCTGTTCCCCTTACTCGGGTGTGTTGGGGCTGACAACCAAGGCAGTCAGGGCAGCGGAGCAGTCAGCACTGGCAGCCAAGAGGGAAAAAGAGAGAGCGCAGCTGGAGCTGAGAAGGAAGTACTACGGGCTGCCTTGATGCATGGGGTGTATGGTTGTGCGTCTGACTGTCTGTTCCCCTTACTCGGGTGTGTTGGGGCTGACAACCAAGGCAGCCAGGGCAGCGGAGCAGTCAGCACTGGCGGCCAAGAGGGAGAAGGAGAGAGCACAGCTGAACCTGAGGAGGAAGTACTACGGGCTGCTGTGAAGAGAGGGCTGTGTGGTGTGGTGTGTCGGGCACACAATGATATGAAGGGATCGCAGTTCACATGGTGTGTGTGTGTCTGGAGTCGCGGTTTGCCAATCGAGACCAGCAGACAGAGTAGCCGTCAACCATTAGGAGGACTACCAAGAGGGAGAAGGAGAGAGTGCAGCTGGAGCTGAGGAGGAAGAAAGTACTATGGGCAGGATCGGCATTTTTTGCCACCGCCTGATCAGACGAAAAAAGAATCCCAGGTCTGAGGTTTCAACCGAAGCTGTTAGCCTGTGGGGACAAGTTAGCCTAGGGACGCTATACAGCTCTTGATGAAGCTTAGAAATTTAACAAGAAACTTCACTTCTCCGTACATGTGGGATTTTGTAAAACTAAACACAACACAAAGTAGTGTATCAACCCTTGGCAATGTGTTTCCTTGTGTTTTAAGGTTGTGGAATGCGTCGAGCTGAAAATTTTAAACCAAGATATCATCTGCCCCTTTTAAGAAGCACTCCGAAATTCACCCTGCGTATATAAGCGCAGTGCTCCGTTACGGGTACAAATACACCCTCATTCTCGATAGACTGGCATATGTTATACTGACCGAGACGCTTAGTGTAGCCGCACCGGACCAAAGAAGGTCCTATCACATACGTTATAGTGACAATTTGACCAAAGGCGTTTAGTCAAGTTTGAATACGTTCTAGAATGGTACTGGTATATTTTGAACGGTTAAGACAGTTATTCAGGGAAAACGGTTTAGGGTGGGCCGAGGCTTGTTCGTCACGTCGTGCGACTTTGCCCTCACCGAGTTATCGCACCAGCCCGCTACGTCCAAACACTGTAGCCAGTGCTTCCAACGGTGAGAAAGGTGAGAATGAGGGTGTACCGAGCATGTGGCAGCTGACCAGCTGCTCAAGTGGCGGCGGGATACCCCCCATTTCCCCCCACTAATGCGAGGCACAACTAGCTGGACGAAACTGTCTGCGACAAAGTAACCGCAACGGCTAGATTCGTTACAATGAGAGTTGTGCCACCTCATTCATATATGGGGCGTGTGGTTGCCTAGCGCGTGCCCTAATGCCTGCCACTTTAGTCAAGGACTTCACGTGAACCACTATCACATATGGGCGTCGTTCTGTAGGCACCTGACAATTGGGGGTGGAGGGAGGGAGAAGGGAAATGAGGAGGGTTCGTTTTTCCTATCATGGCTTCACTCTTTCCCTGCTCAAGCACGCAATGGCGGTGATTGCTGCAGCGTCTTTTAGTGCAACTGTGGTCTGCTCCTTTAGCTGTTACCAACGGCGTTGCCAACGCCATTTACTGAATGGCGGCGCTGGATTTCCACTCAGCAAAACATTCTCCCGCTGTCGCCGTGAATCGTGCATATCTTGGAACCATAGGCATTCTTCCCAGATTGCTGTTTCAAGCTTCCAAGCGAGGAGCACAGATCGGTCGTATTGCGGCTTACTAGATTTCGTACGTATTTAGCCGAACAGAATCCTGATACTATCAGCCTCACGTCGTCCCACGGATGAGCAAAGGTCAGCACAGTTCTGTACAGCCTGAGGCGTCGCTTTCCTGACCTGTCATGTCAGCTTTTGGCACAAGAGTGCTAAGTACGGCACTTGCGTCAAGCACTGATGCGCTCCTGTATGTGCGTGCACTCAGTGCATAGTAGAAGGCACCGCTGGAAGGCGGTGAAATGACATCAGCCGCACGATCATGTCCACATCCTTCACGTGTTCTGCGGGAACCCTTTGCCTCTTCATCACACGAACGGAACCTTGTTTCCTGGGACTCCTCGCACCAGGCGAGAGGCCCCGCCGGCCGGGAGGGCCAAGTTTCCACTCTTTCGCAGCTGGCAGCTGCAGCCAATTCGAACTGAATGCCTGCCTGGACGTACGTAGGACGTCTTACGAGAGAGTGAAATATATGCGTCTTCGCCTGAGTTCTCAGCACTGCTGACAGTTAATCCCTGAGATGTCACGGCGTGACGCTCTGTTTCATTACTAGTAAACCATGTCAAATCATATATGCATGTTTAGGTTATCTATGCTGTATGGGGGTTAGCACTAGGGGGTACAACATTTCTCTCGACATTCTTCTTGTACCCCCCCCTTGACCTAATCACACATTCCTTCCTAGTATTCTAACATGGTATTAAGAGCTAGGACGGTCCTAGGCTAGGACCGTAATTAAGGGCCCACCACATTCGTTTTCACCTGCCCGACCGTTAGTTTCTGCCCTGCCCAGCGTTTCGCGCTGCCCTGCCCTTTTCTGCCGTGCGCAGCCCGTACAATCCGCGTAGGCCCGAGCACAGCCCGTGCAGCCCGCGCCAAGCCGTCGCGCAGCCCGTACAGCCCACGCCAGGCCCGCGCGCAGCCAGTACAGCCCGCGTAGGCCCGTCGCGAAGCCCGTACAGCCCGTGTAGGCCCGTCGCGAAGCCCGTACAGCCCGCGCCAGGCCGTCGCGCAGCCCGTACAGCCCACGTCAGGCCCGCACGCAGCCCGTACAGCCCGCGCCAGGCCCGCACGCAGCTCGTACAGCCCGCGCCAGGCCCGCACGCAGCTCGTACAGCCCGCGCCAGGCCCGCACGCAGCCCTTACAGCCCATGCCTGGCCCGCACGCGGCCCGTGTTACTACTGCACTCACGCTGCTGCTTCGCTGCTGCGCCTGAACTGCTGCTGCAGTGCTGCTGCCGCGCACTGCCCTGCACCAGCTACGCCACCCCTGGAGCAGCCGCCCCTGGACCCAGAGCAACCGCCCCTGGCCCCTGAAGCAGCCGCCCCTGGTGCAGCCGCCCCTGGACCCTCGAGCAGCCGCCCCTGGACCCAGAGCAGCCGCCCCTGGCCCCTGAAGCAGCCGCCCCTGGAGCAGCCGCCCCTGGACCCAGAGCAGCCGCCCCTGGCCCCTGAAGCAGCCGCCCCTGGTGCAGCCGCCCCTGGCCCCTGCAGCAGCCGCCCCTGGTGCAGCCGCCCCTGGACCCTCGAGCAGCCGCCCCTGGACCCAGAGCAGCCGCCCCCGGCCCCTGAAGCAGCCGCCCCTGGACCCTCGAGCAGCCGCCCCTGGACCCAGAACAGCCGCCCCTGGCTCCTAAAGCAGCCGCCCCTGGTGCAGCCGCCCCTGGACCCTCGAGCAGCCGCCCCTGGACCCAGAGCAGCCGCCCCTGGCCCCTGAAGCAGCCGCCCCTGGACTCCGTGCAGTCGCCCCTGGACCCCGCGACGCCGCCCCTGGACCCGCGTCGCCGCCCCTGGACCCTGTGCAGCCGCCCGCCGAGCGCCGGCCCTGCTCGCCCGGCGAGCGCCTGCTCTTCCCGCCACTGGTGAGCACCTGCCTTGTTAGCGCGCTGCCGCGCCATCTGCCTGCCTGCCTGCCTGCCAGCCTGCCTGCCTGCCAGCCTGCCTGCCTGCCAGCCTGTCTGCCTGCCTGCCTGCCTGCCTGCCTGCCTGCCTGCCTGCCGCGCCTGCCCTGCCCGCGCTGCTACTGCTGCTACTTCTGTTACTACTGCTAGGCTACGGCTACTGCTACTGCTGCTACTGGCGGTGGCCAGATGCAGCTCCAGTGACGTCCACGCGAGTCTCTCCCGCCCCAGCAGCTTCATGAGTGGTACGCTAGTTGGGGTTGTGGCGGTAGCCGTCGTAGCTGTCGCCCTGGAGCTGGTCAGTTGGGAGCGTCTGGCAGTGGCCAGCTGCAGCTGCAGCGGCGTCCACGCGAGACACTTACGTCCCAACAGCTTCACGAGTGGTACGCTCAGAGTAGAGGGTCTTTGAGTACCGTTCGCTGCCCGTACGTCATTCGCACAGGTGATCGGGCTGGTCAGGCATGCGGGACGCTTGGTCACACACAGTCCCGCTGCTTCGCCCGTCTGAGCGACGCCTGGCGTACCGAGTTTGGCGACGAGGCTGAGCTCCCCACCTGGCTGGAGCTGCTTAGGCAGAGGGTAGATATCTTTGCTCTTGACTATGATGCTATTCTCACTGCCATGTATGCATTGCCTACTAGTGCTGACGGTGCCTCTTACCTGTGCGTACCGCCTGACCCAGGTATAGAGCCTGCTGCTCTAGGTGCTGGTGAGGCTGCTGCCCTAGGTGCTGGTGAGGCTGCTGCTCCAGGTGCTGGTGAGTCTGCTCTCTCAGGTACTGCGCCTGCTGAGGCCTTGTACACCTTCACACTTGACTCAGGTGCTTCCCGCTCCTTCTTTCGCGACAGCACCACCCTCACGCCGCTCCGTCGGCCGGTTGCAGTCTCCCTGGCAGACCCCTCTGGGGGTCCAGTCCTTGCGCACTCCTCCACGGTCCTGCCGTGTCCGGCGGTCCCGTCTGGCTTCCTGTCAGGTCTTCACCTCCCCTCGTTCTCTACGAACTTGGTGGGTGGTGCTGACCTCCAGGACCAGTGGGTTGACCAGTTCACCCCTGGAGGTCAGCGTGTGACCCACTGTACGTGCTCCCGGACTGGTCGGCACCTGGCCACGTTCACCCGAGCGCCTGGCTCGAGTCTGTACACACTGACTACTGTGTCCCCTCAGGTAGCTGCGTCTGCGTCTGCGTTTGCGTCGGGTCAGCTAGCGGCCCCCTGCTTGTGTCGCGCTTTGTCGCACCAGACCCTCCTTTGGCACCACCGCTTTGGTCACCCCTCGGTGCAGCGCCTTCATAGCATGCACCGCCGTTTTCTTGTCTCTGGACTTCCAGAGACTCTGCCTCCTCTACCACCCTCGCCTGCTCCTCCCTGTCTTCCCTGTGTCGAGGGGCGGCAGCGCGTCGCTCCTCACTCCTCCTCGTTCCCTCCCACAGAGGCTCCCCTGCAGACTCTCTACCTGGACGTGTGGGGCCCAGCCCGCGTCCGTGGACAGGGCCACGAGCGGTACTTCCTGCTGGTCGTCGACGACTACACGCGTTACACCATGGTCTTCCCCTTGCAGCGCAAGGGGGATGTCCCTGATGTTTTGATCCCCTGGATCCGCGCTGTTCGTCTCCAGCTCCGCGAGCGGTTCCAGTCGGACTTTCCTGTCCTACGTCTGCACTCTGACAGAGGTGGTGAGTTCTCCCCAGACCTCTTGGCAGCCTTCTGTGCGGAGCACGGCATCCGCCAGACGTTCACGCTTCCGGCCTCTCCGCAGAAGAATGGGGTTGCTGAGCGCCGCATTGGCTTAGTCATGGAGGTCGCTCGTACCTCCATGATCCATGCGGCTGCCCCCCATTTTCTGTGGCCGTTTGCGGTCCGGTACGCCACGCATCAGCTCAACCTCTGGCCCCGTGTCTCCTTGCCGGAGACCTCGCCCACACTGCTGTGGACGGGGAAGGTTGGCGATGCGTCGCGTTTCCGGGTCTGGGGTGCTCGTGCCTTTGTCCGCGATACCACCGCGGACAAGCTCTCCGCCCGCGCTGTTCCCTGTGTCTTCCTTGGCTTTGTCCCTGACGCGCCTGGTTGGCAGTTTTACCACCCCACCTCGCGCCGTGTCTTCCCCTCTCAGGATGTCACGTTCGACGAGTCGGTTCCCTTTTACCGTCTCTTCCCCTACCGCACTGCCCCTCTCCCCCCCCCGCCGCTCTTCCTCGCTCCAGGTGCTCCCCAGGTAGACCCCCTCCCCGCTCCCGGTCCTGCTCCTTCAGGTGTGTCTCAGGTAGACCCTCCTCCCTTGGCTGCGCCGGTTGAGGTCACTGGTGACTCAGGTCCTACTGAGGGTGGTCCTGCTCGGGGTGCTGCTTCTGGGGGTGCTGAGCCTGGGGGTGCGGAGACTGGAGGTGCTGAGCCTGTGCGTGAGGAGTCTGGGGGTGCTGAGCCTGGGGGTACTGAGTCTGGGGGTGCTGCGCCTGGGGGCGCTGAGGCGTCTGGTGAGCAGTCTCCCTGGAGCGGCCGTCTTCGTAGTCGCTCCGCTGGTGCCTCGCCGCTGCACTCTCGTCGTCGACTCCCTCTCTCCCCACAGCAGCTGAGTGAGTGGTACGTTGGCCGTCAGGGTCGCGCTGCTGGAGCTAGGGGCCCTGCTGCGGGAGGCGCTGGAGCTGGTGACTCTGCTACTGGAGGTGCTGGCGCTGGTGGCGCTGGAGCTGGAGGTTCTGGAGCTGCTGAGGGTGCTGGCGCTGGAGGTTCTGGAGCTGCTGCGGGTGCTAGCGCTGGAGTTTCTGGAGCTGCTGCGGGTGCTGGCGCTAAGGGTTCTGAGTCTGCTGTTGCGCGGTTTCCTTGGAGTAGCCGCCTTCGTCCGGGTGTGCCTCTCACCTCACAGCAGCTGCACGACTGGTACGGTCGCCGTCAGGGTCGCGCTTCTAGAGCTCGGGGCTCTGCCGCTGGAGGTACTTCTGCTGACGTCACTGGAGCTGGGAGTGGTGCTGGTCCTGGAGGTGCTCGTACTGGAGCTGCTGGGGCTGGAGGTGCTGAGCCTGAGGGTGCTGCTGCTGGAGACACTGAGGCTGGAGACCCTGGGACTGGAGGTGCCGGTTCTGGGGGTGCTGCTGCTGGTGGAGCTGGTCCTGGAGGAGCTGGCGCTGAGGGTTCTGGAGCTGCTGGAGGTGCTGGAGCTGCTGGAGGTGCTGGAGCTGCTGGTGCTGGTGGCACTGCACAGTCCTGAGTCTGACCGGTTTCGTGCTGAGCACCCTACTGTCACGCGTCTGCTAGCCACAGTTCTCACTGACCCGTCGTTTGAGTCTGCTGCTGCGTCCGCCTTAGTCGCTGAGCTTGTTGACTTTGCTGCTGCCTGTCGTCTAGACTACGCCGCTAGTCTTGTTTCTGAGTCTGAGTCTGTCTGTCCTCCGTCCGTCGGGGGTGAGTGTGCCCTTAGCGCGGACGTCCTTGAGGACACGCAGGAGGACCTTGAGTGTCTTGCAGCCGCTGCGCCTCATCTCGTGTCCATGCTGCTTGCCCCTGAGGGAGACCCGGATGCTCCAGACATCCCGACCCCGCGCTCTTACGCTGAGGCGATCGCGGGTGAGTACTCCTCTCAGTGGCAGACAGCCATGGACGCAGAGATGGCATCCTGGAAGTCCACAGGCACATACGTCGACGAGGTTCCCCCTCCTGGGGCGAACATCGTCAGTGGCATGTGGATTTTCAGGGTGAAGCGGCCGCCAGGTTCTCCGCCTGTCTTCAAGGCTCGTTACGTTACTCGAGGCTTCAGTCAGAGGGAGGGAGTCGACTTCTTCCAGACCTTCTCCCCCACCCCGAAGATGACCACTCTTCGGGTGCTGCTGCACGTTGCCGCTCAGCGTGACTACGAGCTTCACTCTCTTGACTTCAGCACAGCTTTATTACAGGGCAGCCTGCACGAGGAGATCTGGCTGCGCCGCCCACCCGGCTTCACGGGGTCGTTCCCTCCTGGTACCCAGTGGAGCCTCCGGCGACCGGTCTACGGTCTCCGCCAGGCGCCACGTGAGCGGCACGACACACTGAGGACGACACTTGCGGCTCTTGGGTTTACTCCGTCGACTGCTGACCCGTCGCTGTTTCTGCGCACCGACACTTCGCTGCCGCCGTTCTACATCCTCGTGTACGTCGACGACTTGGTCTTTGTCACTGCTGACACTGAGGCTCTCGCCCTGGTGAAGTCGGAGCTGCAGAAGAGACACACGTGCACAGACCTGGGTGAGCTGCGCTGTTACCTTGGCTTGCAGATCACCCGGGACAGAGCACGCCACACCATCACCCTGACTCAGTCACACATGTTGCAGCAGGTCCTTCAGCGCTTCGGTTTCACCTGGTCCTCGGCACAGGCCACTCCTCTGGCTACAGGTCACTCGCTCTCAGCTCCACCTTCGGACGAGTCCGTAGAGCCGAGTGGTCCTTACCCAGAGCTAGTTGGCTGCCTCATGTACCTGATGACTTGCACTCGTCCTAACCTCGCGTACCCTCTTGGCCTTCTGGCTCGCTACGTGGCTCCTGGTCGGCACCGAAAGGTGCACATGGATGCTGCTAAGAGGGTACTGCGCTACTTGTGCAGTACATCGGGCATGGGGCTCGTGCTTGGAGGACGGGGCGACGTTGTCCTCACTGGTCACTCGGACGCTTCTTGGGTTGACGACCAGGCTACGCAGCGGTCGTCACAGGGTTACACCTTCAGCCTTGGCTCTGGTTCAGTTTCTTGGCGTTCTACACGCTCGTCTTCAGTTCTCAGCTCCAGTTGTGAGGCTGAGATCTACGCCACAGCCATGGCTGCACAGGAGTTACGCTGGCTCACCTACCTGCTGACCGACCTGGGAGAGCAGCCTCGTTCTCCTCCAGTGCTGTACGTCAACAACAAGGCAGCCATTGCCTTGTGTCAGGAGCACAGACTGGAGCACAGAACGAAGCACATCGCTCTGCGTTACTTCCTGGCTCGAGAGTTGCAGCAGCGGGGTCAGCTTCGTCTTGCTCACGTGGCCACTCGGGCCAACACTGCTGATATATTCACCAAGGCACTTCCGTCTGGTGATCATCAGCGCTTTTGTACTTTGTTGGGCCTTGTGCCTACGTTTCCACACTTGCTGTAGATTCTGCTTGTACTGTGATCTATACATATATACCTGCATGCTTGCTCTTGTTAGGTAGTGATAACTGTGCTATTGCTGCATATGCATCTCTGCATGTGAACTGGCCTTGTGGCCTCTTGCTTGTGCTCAGAGCGTGTGGTGACTTTGTGATCCACCCTGAGCTGTGTTTTGTTTCTTCTCTTGACTGGTCTTGTGACCTTTGCTTGCTCTGGCTATCCCCCATTTCGCCTATGGGGGTGTGTCAAATCATATATGCATGTTTAGGTTATCTAGGCTGTATGGGGGTTAGCACTAGGGGGTACAACATTTCTCTCGACATTCTTCTTGTACCCCCCCCTTGACCTAATCACACATTCCTTCCTAGTATTCTAACAAACCACAACTATACCACCACTTCTCCCTTTCCAAGTGCTACTAATTCCAGTAATACCTATTACTTGCTTCCGACAACTCGAGGCTTCAGGGAAACCGTCCTTGAGTCAATCTCTCTCATTTCCCCGTCCTGAAACTATCCTGAAAATCTAGTACTACTTGCCTACGTTATCCTACCGTACTACGTAATAGTGACTATTACTATCACTGCCATGGAGCTTTCTAACGTCCCGCTGCTGCCTTTCCTCGACTTCCACTGCTCCTCTGCGTGCGCTGCAGACTGCGACGGGCTGCACATCAAGTGGAAGCAGCCTGCGCCTGAGGCTGAGGTGCAACAAACCGGGGGAGCAGCTGGATGGGAACCGCTGAGTGAGAGCGCTTTTGAGCCTCCGTCTCAAAACTCCTCTGAGTGCGCTGCGGACTGTGACGGGCTGCACATCAAGTGGAAGCAGCCTGCGCCTGAGGTGCAGCGAGCCACTTTTGGGACGTCTCAAAAGTCGTCTATTGCTACCACTGCCATGAACCTCCCTAAGGTTCCGCCGCTGCTGGTGTTCCTCGACTTCCACTGCTCCTCTGCGTGCGCTGCAGACTGTGACGGGCTGCACATCAAGTGGAAGCAGCCTGCACCTGAGGTGCAGCGAACCGGGGGAGCAACTGGGAGGGACCCACTAAGTGAGAGCAGCAGTCGAGCTCTAGTGGCAATGGCCGCATGGACAGATGGACAGGCCTTGAATTCCAGTTGCTCTTTCCCAGGGACAGGGAGTCCCAGCACAGCGACCAGCAAAGCAGGGGAGTCAGCCCTCAGTTGAAGCCTTTTCAGTGGATGGGTGCACGGACGGCATCGCGTCAATCCCTAGGTCCGAAGTGTTCCATCATGTAGCCCTCCTGACAGATGTCAGCATGTCATCAACAGAAGGACACGTCAGCATGCTGACTCAGCCGTCGCCGACTAGACAGGTTTTCAAGCCGTTGATGGAAGCAGCTGCTACTCCAGCGCCTGCTACAACCCAACCTCAGATCCATTCAGCGGTGAACGCTCCCGCTCCTGCTGCTGCTGCTGCTCCTGCCACTGCTGCTGGTTCCCCTGGCGGCACCGCCCCCACCCCCGCCGCCGCTGCCGCCGCCGCCGCCGCTGCTGCTGCTGTTGCTGCTGCTGCTGCTGCTGCTGTTGCTGCTGCTGCTGCTGCATTGCCTATTCTCGAGGCATCTCAAGAATCTCCGCCGTTAACTGCTTTAGCCCAGTATGAAAACCCTTCGATGGTGAACACCCTGGGGTTTGCTGCTGTTGCTGCAATGCCTGCCACGGTGCCGAGCGTGCCGTTGAATCCTCCTGTTCAATCCCTCTCCCAAGAAGCACCGATGCTGCACAGATCAGCGCTAGCGTTTGAGTCGACTCAAAAGTTGCCTGCCACGGTGCCGAGCGTGCCGTTGAATCCTCCTGCTCAATCCCTCTCCCAAGAAGCGTCAGTGTTGCAAAGGTCAGCGCTAGTAGCAACGCCAGCACATGCAGCAGGAAGCCACACCGGGGAGAGATTGCTAGAAATGTTTTACGGAACCCCAGCGACTCGCGACGGAACGTTACACGACATGATTTTGGCGGGAAGATTCTCGAGGTGCCCTAGAAATCACCTCAATGCACACGGACCGTTGCACGACATGATCCTGTCAGGAAGATTCATGCAAAAGGGTTCTGCGAGCCGGTGGGGTGATGGTGATTCGATTGCTGAGGCCGCAGCCATGCAGCCTCGGAAAAGGCAGTGTTTGGCGGGCGATGATGGAGTGGGTTGCAAGCGCACAGACATCAGTACAGGTGCAGGCTCACTCGGTGCAGGCTCACTCGGTGCAGGCTCACTCAGTGCAGGCTCACTTGGTGCAGGCTCACTCGGTGCAGGCTCACTCGGTTCAGGTGTTCAGTGCGCCACTGTTGGTTCAGATCTTCCCAGGAGGAAAGTGGACACTCCTGCTCCAATCCATGCCGTTCAATCCACTGTCTACGCGATTGGCTCTGTCGCAGTGAGCCCGCCACCTGCTGTTGAGTCCGTAACGGCTGCACAAATGTCACCAGAGGCGGCCCTGCGAGCTTCTGCCACACGTCACGATGTGCATTCTGCACAGTTGAACGGGAGGGACCAAGCGGGTGACAATGTGACGTTTGAGTCGACTCAAAAGTCATCTTCTGCCGCACGTCATGATGTGCATTCTGCACAGTTGAACGGGACGGACCAACCTGGTGACACTGACCATGTGCTGGGCTTGGAGCGGCCGCCTATTCAGCGACGAAGTGCCACGGAGAAGCTTAGAAGGCACCGGATCAGGTAATTGCAGCTTTGCACAGACCTGTTTGTTGAGCCGTTTGTAAAATATTAACGTGGTTGTTGCATGCACTGCCGCCCGCCTCTCTTTTTGTGCAGCGCTGGATTCAAGCGGCTTGAAAAAACTATCCCTCCCTCGCGTGTGCGCCAGAAGCACTCGTTGGCGCTGTCATCTCGAACGGATATAGCTTCGCTGTTAGATGCGGCAGTGGACTTTATAAGGGAGCTCGAGGTGAGGAGAATTCGTTTGCCAATATCAGCAATTCAATTAAACGTTCTTTTCTTTTCTTCTTTAAGAATTGACTACCGTATTACCCCGGATAGTAGCGCATATGCGCTTATAATAAAATCAGTTTTTTTTAAGGGGGGCGCTTGTAATTGAGTAACGGGCATAAGCGCATGCGCTTATGAGACGGGAAAATGAAATTTATTTTTAAAGGCACCAAATCGAAGCTCTCCTTAAGGTGAACACAGCCGAACGTTCGTTCACGTGGGATCGTGCATGGAATTCAGGGGAAATCAACCGCGACTCGGTTTCCCACCACACATTCACGTCCAGAAGCAGCGCACCTGCCTTTGCTGACTCGCATCCTGCCGTGCGGCCCAATCGCATTGTCATGCGCCTCATGGCAGTCGATTCCACCCGAATCCTCTAGAAGGGGGTGGAATCTTTCCTGCCAGCGCTGACGCAAATCCTGCCGTGCGGTCCAATCACAGCGGGATGCGTTGCCATGCAGGCAAATTCCACCCGAATTCACTAGAAGGTGGTGGAATCTACCATGGCAACGCAGCGTCGTGCACGCCACGCAAGTTCCTCGACGAGTCTAGGCGAGGGTTTCCCGTCGGTCATCGACGAGGACAACGTGGCGCCTTGGCGAAGGGGTCCCTCCCAAGCGCATTTCATTCCTCATTCTTGCTCGTTCTGATTCAGTTTTCCTTCCTCTCCCGCCGGGCTGCTTCAGCCATGGCGGAATTCACTAGCACTCATTTTCTCTTCAAGAAGAAGCCTAGTAGGCCCGTGTTTACCGTTACCGCTGACGGATGGTACTGCCGTGCCCCACCATCGCCTCCCGACCCACCACAGCCTCCTGCGCCTCCTGTTCCCCCTAATCCTCCCGTTCCTCCGTCGCCTCCAGAACCTCCTGCTCCTCCACCTCCTCCTTTACCGGTAGAATCCTTGGGCAACCCACCCGTGCTCCAGCTTTGCCAGTATCTCCCGCAGACCTTTAACGAGTGGCTGGAAGAACCTGTCGCGGACAAGCCTCAAGATGAGTCCATGGAGGCTCCCGCGTCGGCTCCACGCTGGGGCGAGCCAGAAGACTGCGCGTGGGATGAATCCGCCGTGGGCGCTGACGACGATGTGCATGCCAAGAGCGCGGAGGGCGACAAGGGCGCCGAGGCTGACGACGAGACCGGCACAGAGACTGGCACCGGGGCGGGCACCGGGGCGGGCACCGAGGCAGATGTGTATCCCGAGGGTGCTATGGGCGGCGACGACGACGACGGTGTCGAATACTGGTCGCGCGATGGCCTTCCTGAAAAGTTGCCGATACCGTCTTATCCACCAATTAACCACAAGCGTCCCCACCCTTCTGCAAAGAACCGTGATGCCCGCCCCCCCTCTCCCAGGCACAAGATGTCGCAGCACAAGCGAAAGGGTTACACATCTCAGGAAAAATTGAAGTGGCTCGCGCTGCTGGAGGTGGCGGTTTCCGTGCGCTCTCTATCTCGTGAGTCTGGCATCCATCGGAAGTGCTTGACGGAGTGGAAGAAGGAGGCGGCCACCCTGAAAGATGCTCACGGCGCACGGATGCGGATGCACGGTCGCGGCCGAGCGTCTTGGTACAGACCTATGGAGCTAAAGGTCTATGCGAGGCTTCTGGAGTGGCGGCGCAAGGGATGCGCCGTCTCCGTTGGTCGTCTGCAAGAGTGGTCGAAGGAATTCATGAAGATTCTCTACCCCGACGTCAAGTGGAAGGGCAGTCAGAGGTGGTCGGACCGTTTTCGGCGCCGCTGGAATTTGAGCGTTCGCATGAAGACGAAGGTAGCACAAAAAACCGCCGAACGTAAGTGCCTTCCTTTGTTTTACCGTAGGAACTTTTATTATGCGTCTTCCTTGATGTTTTTACGGGTACCAGTGATCTTACATCCCTATCGCCACTCCCCCCCCCCCCTCTCTACCTCTGTCTGACAGATGTCGCGGAGCAGTGCACTAAGTTCTGGGAGTTCGTCCGCAACAACCGTCGTGAGCGCGGCATCGAAACGACGTGGATTATCAACGCCGACCAGACGCCGCTGTGGCTTGAGATGCCAGCCACCACCACCGTGGAGCAAACGGGAGTTCGCTCGGTGCCCATCAGGAGCGCTAGTTACCAGAAGCAGCGCGTCACCGTGATGCTTGCGTGCACGGCTGACGGTGTGAAGCTGAAGCCATGGGTGTACTTCAAGCGCAAGACGGTCCCGAAGGGGGATTTCCCGCCAGGTGAGACAAGCTTGACATTTTACTTTGCTCTGTCATGCGACAGAGGCATGTTTAACTTGGACCCTTTATTGCGTGCGCAGATGTGGTGGTGAGGTGCCAAGACAACGGCTGGATGGACGCCGACGGCGTTCTGGCGTGGCTTGACGGGTGTATCAAGCCTTTCATAAGGCCCCGGTTCGGCAGGCAGGCGAAGAGCTCGATGCTCGTTCTGGATTCGTACCGCGGGCATCTCACGGACGAGGTGAAGGCGAAGCTTGCGGAGCTCAACATCGTCCCCGCGGTCATCCCGGCAGGCTGTACATCGGAGGTACAGCCTCTCGACGTGTCGGTCAACAAAAGTTTCAAGGCCTCCGTCCGCGAGCAGTACCAGACCTGGTTTGAGGAGGAAGGCTTGGAAAGGCGGACAAAAGCAGGTATGGGCCGAATTGTTTTACGTCCGCAATAGTCAAATTCTTCCCGTCTCTTTGTTGCGCTAATCTCCCCTCTGATCGTCATGTGGTGCAGGGAACCTCAAAAAGCCGCCCGCAGAGGTGGTCCTCAGGTGGATCTCCCGGGCATGGAGGGCAGTCCCCGCAGATCTGATCAAGAAGGCGTTCCTCACATGCGGGATTAGCAACGCGCTAGACGGGAGCGAGGACAAGCTCGCCATGGCTCACAGAAGGGGCCAGCTGTCGCACGAGGTGGACGTAGACGACGACATCACGGCCGACGGATTCTGGGGCAACAACTGCCCAGAGCCAGAGTCAGACGACGAGGAGTAGAGCTAACGGTAGAAATGCTACGGTAGAGTTGTAGCGGTAGATTCATGCTGGCAGGAGCTAGACTTGTTGCTACCATCTAAAAAGCCAGATTCAATCATCTGAATGTTCGATTGAGTAGATTGACTGTGACAGTAGAATGTTTGTCGAAGATATTATATAAAATGCAAGAAAAAAAACTACAGAACTAAAGGGGGTGGCGCTTATAATAAGTACAGGATTCACAAGGGGTGCGCTTCTAATCGAAGTGCCGCCATAAGCGCATGGCTCCAGATAGAAGCGCCGGCGCCCTTAAACGGACGGCGCTTATATCCGGGATGATACGGTAACACTATGTTGTGCATTACCGTATTACCGTACTGTGATGTGCAGGACCAAAAGGCCAAACTTTCACAAGCTCTCAATCAGCAAATGTTAGTGCATTACAAATAAATAAATGGTACCGTACCGCAGGGCCCGTGCTAGCATTTGGGGCACCCTGAGGCCTCAGGGCACTTTTCTAGAATCTAAAAAAATGCCCTGATTTGTCAGGGCAGATTTTCAAAACCATTCTGTATGTTCAGGGCTTCTGCAGAAATCAATCCTGACCTGTCAGGGCAAAAAAACCTGAGTTCAGGGTTCAGAACAGAACTTAACACACACCATACCAGACCACACCTAGTCCATGCATGGCACTTGACGAGATGGCGAGATGGGAGGGTACCGTGTTTTCCCCGTCTGATGGGTTTGGTTGTTGCGTTGCGCAGGGTCGAAAGTGCAAGGGGATCGCGAAGGCGGGACAAATGCACGGGGAATGCAATCCGCAGCGGATTTTTTTACGGGGAAGAAATTCCCGGGAAACGGCAACCCCCCCCCCCCCCCTCCCCCCCGAAAAAAAAAACACGTCAGGGCAAGGCTCGACATTCATCCTGACGCTACAGGGAAGTACACCACAACCATCCTGATTTTCCAGGGCATTTCATATAAAAACATCCTGAGCGCTCAGGGTTAAAAATGACATTATTCTGAAATGACAGGGCAAAATCAAATATGCATCCTGAATTCAGGGTAATCAGGATGGTTTGCCCTGATATCGTGGGGCCTGCCGTACCGTAACACTTTCGCTACCGTGTTTAGTGTTCACTCATGCATTCAGTCACATCTTGTATCTCTCTCTTAGAAAGTGAATGCAACGGAATGTTTGACTTAGGAGAGCAAGGCATACAAATAGAAACCCTAAGAGTGTTGTACTCCTTAGAGTGCTACTCACTGCAGCCTACAACCAATAACAACATTTGACACACCCCCGTAGGCTAAGTGAGGGGCATCAAAGCAAGCATGGTGAACAAACAGTCACAAGACCAGTCAAAGCAAGAAACAAGGCAAGCTCAGGGTGGATCTCAAGGACACCACACAAATTCCGAGCGCAAGCAAGCGGCCACAAGGCCAGTTCAAGAGTTCACTAGGGTATATATATGAAAACACAACAAGCAGAGTAAGCAACAAGACTACAGCAACCGAGGGCCTACCTCAACAAGCCCCAACTGCACACAAAACCTGTGGTGATCACCAAGCGCCAAGGCCTTGGTGAAGACGTCTGCAGTGTTGGCCTCTGAGGCCACAAAGTCCAGGCGTGCCTGGCCGCATCGCTGCAGCTCTCGCAGGAGGAAGTACCTCACGTCAATATGTTTCACTCTGCTCTCCAGTCGAGGCTCTCGACACAGGAGGATCATGGCCTTGTTGTCAGCGTACAAGGTCGGTGCAGAGCGAGGCCGCTCACCAAGGTCG